AACATGTCCGGGGTTATTTTCAGGTTCGGGGATACAATCACACAGCTTTTTCTCACAAGCTGTGTTGCTCAACGGGAGTCTTCCAATGTGGTAGGCGCCAGAAGGTTCTGGAGAACAGACTGGGAGAACACAGTATTTATCACGCTTCTTTATTATACACCTTAGCTAGAGGTAGAAAACACCTCAGCTACAATACAAATGTAAAAAGAAAAAAGGATGCATGTCAGCTGAGCTACCAGTAACGGATGGGCATCGTTTCGGAAAGTTACCAGCCGGCTACTATTCAGCAAAAAAATATTTGCGCAAATTTTCTGTTATGCTAAGGAATAAGATCGCGGTTGGAGGGGGAAACTAGAAGGGATGTAGAGAGACAAAGAAACTCAACACGATCGCCACTGAGGTTGGCTTCTAGCCATGTCAGCAAATCTATTCAGCCAAACGTGTTCATCGTCTTTCGGACCCCTCAACCAGGGATCCACGAAACTCCAACCGAGGCCAACTTTGAAGTAAGAGCCTTCATTCATCTTGACCAAGTTATCGCTTGGTCACTTCTTCCATTCCCGCCCCCGGTGCGCAGACAACGCTGGGGGCTGACACGCTCAACACGTGACCAAGCCGTCGGAGCCTGATGCCTGAACTAACGGTGTTGAGCGGTTCACTTCCTTTTCCTGTGCCATAAGCAAGTTGTCGAACATGCTTATTGCTCACCCGGTGTTTCCATCAGATGTGAGCCGAGATGCGAAGGCGCCGCTTGTCGAAGGTAACTGGTCTCTTCGCGACTTCGGCGGCTAGACGCCGCATCAGCGACTTCATGTACTGTCACCAAGTGGTAGGCTGGCTACCATGCGGTCGCTTCCAGCCCGCTCCTTGACTAGCGGGCGACTGGTTGTGGTCGCTTGGCAACGAAGTGTCGGTATAGTATGCTGGTGCATTACTGTTGCCTCATTGGTGAACAACTTCGGAGGTCCTGTGAAGATCGTCTACGAAGTTTAGGATTGTTTTTCTTGAGACGGCTCAAATTGAAAGCTCATCTGATAGCGATGTTTTCTATTATGCAGACCTACCAATCTGTTTGAGGTAGCTCTGTCGGAACACCTTTGAGACATCGTCTGAAACTTTAACAATAAAGGGATAGGTTGGCGCTAAGGCAGCACTTTTGCAACTCGTGTTGTAGACATTCTAAATAGACTTATTTTTATCTTATTGGAATGTGATTTTGTAGTAGACTTCAAGAAACGTCTAGGATGATATTGGCCGGCTCTTTAAAGATTATTGTAATATTTTTTGGTAATTGTAACTGCAAGTTCTCGTGTAGCGAATTCTAATGGTAATCTGTGAAAATGCAAAGATTGCTGTTGTGCTCGCTTCATTTCCTCTGGAGAGGCAGGGAGAGTCTATCAGACCTCGAAGGGCTGGGGGCCCTGGTTCCCTTGCCGGTACAAGAAGCAGGATGCTCTTTAGACGAAAGCTTTATTTTCCTTTGAACCTAACCTGACCTGATTCAATATTTATAAATTACCTGGCTGCTTTTCCTTAAGACTCCTGCTCACTTGTTTCTTGCGAGCAATCACTTCCGACACAACGCCCGTCGGAAGGTGACATGGCGCCCACCAGCCTCGAACCAGCCATTGACTTAAATCGATCACATCGCGATCAGCCATCGCTGGAGAGGTTGCGTCCAAAACTGTCGCCCGATCTGGAGCACATGTGTGGACGCTGACTATGCACTTGTATGTGATGATCTGCGGGTGTGTTTTGCCGGTCGATCGAATGAGTGCATAGACAGCCAACTGTCGACGCCATGTGTTCTGAATGCGTATCGAAGTACGCTAGCATTCGGGTTGAACATGGGCACAATGAATACAGTTGAAGGCCACTGGTTGCATGTTCAGCAGACCTTACTAGAAGAAGATAAATCATGTGATAAATCCACTAATCAACATAGACATTGGCTCTCTTCGCAGTTAATAGAACTTATCAATATCCTCGACAAGTTCCGGCTGGAAGCGAAACACCACGAGATTCACAAAATTATCGGGACAAAACTCCATGCTAGCCTGAAAAGAGACCGCGAATCTTAGTGGTCTCATCGTGCGTCAGAGGTAGAAGTGGCCGCTGTCCTTGTTAACCATCGGAACTTGTTCCATCTGATATGGGAAACGGGCAACATGAGACCTAGTGTTAGTGAAACTATTTATCTTAGGCCATCTACAGCTTGTCAAAACGTTTGGAACGTTGGACTGAGCACTTTAAACAGCAATTTAATGAGCCGGAATTTTTAAATTTCCCACCGGTTAGTGATCGTCCTGCTTCCTGTACTGTCCCTTTAGATCCGCCCTCGTTCAAAAGTCGAACTTGAGATCAGACTGTTGAAGTTGGATAAAGCTGCGCGAACAGATGATCTTCCTCCATCCCTTTTCAACTACGAGGACTCTGCTCTTGATGATTTACACGAATTACTAGTGATACTGTGGGAGCAGCAAACTTTTCCAACAGACTGGAGCCGCTCCGTTATTGTCCCGATTTTCAAAGGAGGCTCGCGTTCCGAATGCGGCAACCATAGAGGAACCGGTCTAATCCCCATCGCCTCCAAATTACTTGCCTCTAATCTTTCATAGACTGACTGGCGCTCGTGAAAGCCAGATTCGTGAGGAGCATTCCGGGTTTCGTTTAGGTCGCGGATGCGTCCAATACATATACACAGTGCGTCGGTTGTTGGAGCGCCGTCACATATATTGGCGGCCAACCGTTGTCGTGGTCCTCGATATCAAAGATGCCTTTGATTCGGTGCATCGGCGTGCCTCTTGGGACTCGCTGCTAAGAAAAGTTGTGTCCGAGAAGTATGTTAATAATATGCGAGCGCTGTACACGCGTAGTTTGGGTAGAGTGATGGCTTACAACAAGCTATCTCCGCCATTCAATATCTCCAGCGGTGTAAGAGAAGGATACGTGTTGTCACGTTTCCTCTTCAACTTCGCTATTGACGAAGTCATAGAGTTTCACGTTCACAGGACACGACTTAGGTGTAAAGTTACTCCCAGCTGAACGACTCTGACTTGGAGTTTGCTGACGATATTGCCCTCATCTGTGACAGCTCCCAAATGTGCCAAATAGCACTGAACAGATTAGCACTGGCTCTCAGCCGCTTCGGGCTTTGCTTTGCACTTTCAACATGTATAGCTTTTCTGCAAGATTGGTAGGGACGACTTCCTGAGCTGACCCTTTGTAGGATCAACTAGAAGTCATTCAAAACTTTATCTATCTAGATAGTTGTACCTGCGCGGTTAGAATTGAAGACGAGGTCACAGACAGTATAGCAAATGCACGAGGCACTTTTGCGCGCCTTCACTTTCTGTGGCACGGGCGCAACATCACTCTTCTGGAATGGTACTGTGTACGGTGCAGCCGTACGTTCGAGCCTACCGTACAGTTGTGAAACCTGGTCCATTAGGTCTGCCGACATAAAGAGCCTAGTTAGGTTCGACCACCGGTGCCTTCGCATTTCAGCTGATATCTGGTGAGAACACCGTGTGAGCAGTGTGTGTTCGACGCCTAGTTTATAGCGCGGGAACAAGAAGTGAACCGCTCAGCACCATTGTTTCACGTACCAGGCTCCGATGGCTCAACCAAGTATTGCGCATGTCAGCCACCCAGCTCCCGCGACGAGTTTTCCTCGCACCGGGGCTGCAGATTTAAGATGTGGAGGGGTGGCCAAGCAATGACTTGGTCAAGGGGAATGAAGGCCTTTGCTTCGTAGTTGACCTAGGGTGGAGCCTCGAGGCTATCTGGTTTGGGTACGAAAGATGAACACGTTTTACTGGATGCCCTTGTTGACATGGTACGGAGCCGACTTCAGTGGTGTTGATGTTGTGTTTCTGTCCCTCTCCCTCTTAGCCTCCCCCTCCAACCATAATCTAATTTATTAAGCATAATATAACTCATTTTTGCGGAACACTGGCCGGCTTTTGCTCTCCGAAACGATGTCCATCCGTTACTGGTGGCTCAACCGGCATGCCACTGTTTCATGTTTTTTCTTTCCTTTTGTATTGCTGCACGATAGCTGATGTGTTTTTCACCGTCATCTAACGTGTATAATGAATGAAAGACTTGCTAAACTCTTGTAATTAGCTTAATACTTCACCAGGAGCAATGAAACCCTGCTGTTGAAAGACGGCGTGACGAATTGATTGAAATCAGTTTTTTAAACTGCTGTCAGTTAATGACCTCTAATGATAATGGAGCTTTAGTGCAACTTTCACGAGATCTTTGTCACAGTATATTGCTGGTAAACCATGGTTTCAGTGTCATTGTGCTGAACAGTTCTAGGCCTCTGACGCGGTGCTGCCATGTTACCACTGGAGCACAATAGGTTATTGCCTGTGTAACTTAATCAGAAGCGTTAGTAGACTATTTCTTGGAAGCTTTATCAGCGTAATTATGTCGATTTTATAAAAAACGTTGATTGAAAGCCAATGTGGGAAGTCGTATGATAATCGACAGATTAGGTATTTCCTGGGCCGGTGCATGTTGAACCCGATCTGTAAGGGCAGCTATCAATAGCATCATGCATACTGATAAGTTTGAACCAGCTACGTAGGATCTCCTGCTGTGGTATCTTCAGGAAATCAAACAACATAAGACTAGGCTAGATATCGATTCAAAATCATTTAAAAGTCTTGTGGTAGACGACTGGAGTAATCTTCCTTCTGATGTAGTGAAGTGTGTTGTGACCGTACTCTTCAGAAGGGCCTTAGCTATACGTTGTACGAATCTTTTACTGGATTATCGTTTATCGAAAGAGCATATCGTGACAATTTGTGAGGCTGATCCTTGCAATTATGGATATTGCTTTCATTCTTTCTTCACTCTTTTTTCAGAAACTGGGAGGGTCAGTTAAATATCGAGGTACCTGTGGCCTTAGTTTGTTCGCCGTCTCATAAAAAAGAATGCTCTGAAGCCTGGATCGTTCTTAGAATTTAATCTGATTTGACCTGATTATTATGAGCTCTGATGCTTCACCTCGCACCCCAAACGATTTCGAAAGCGACATTGATTTTTCTGGGTTTTCCGTAAGCAGCGATTTGGACCTAGACTTTGGTTTTCGTGGTAACGGGAAACCTTCAGGATTGACGGAGAAGGGACCAAAACATGAAGGTGAGTTTTCTTCTCACTGTTTTCATCATACCCTATCTAGCTGCCACTAATGTTTTGATATTTCAGTCCTATGCTTTATTTCAGATATCCCTTTTATTTGGTCCACTTCACTATCACGTGAGAGGTGCTATTAACTTCGCGTGGCTTACCATTCCTACTTAAACTGAAGGATGATAGTACTAGACAGCGCTTGGCTATCTGTGGACGTTAGCTTTCACTGCTGTTAGAAAGTGAAGAGTCACCATATATGACACTTCCTTTGTGTAACTTAGTCGTCTAGTGTTTAGCTGTTGGTACCGTATGCACTGAATCGGGCAATTGCTAAATTAATCCCACTCAGTTGCTGCTGGACCACAGGTGACCGAATGATGGATTAGAGGTGTGTGTGTGTGTGTGTGTGTGTGTATGCAGACAGATGGGGAGGGGCGAATGTTTTCCGAAGCTAGTCGGTGGGTTGATATAAAGTACTAAAGAAGGGACCTCGGTTGGTGTTTTGTGGTATACGGAGTGCACAGTTGCTAGCTAGTCTTCACTTAAACTGATTCTTTGTTTCAAATAGAACGAAACTGAATCTCCAACTGGTGAAACGGTTTGAATACCTCCAGTCCATTGAGAAACACGAGTTTGTGCTTTCGAGTATCTTCATTTCTGTTGTTATTAGGTTAACAAAGTTATTGTGGTTTTTAGTCCTGGCATTTTAATGCACATGTCATAGCTCAACCATAACATTGTTGCTCGAAATACGAGCAATTTGAATTGACACACTGCTCGGCGGGTGAATAAAACTTCGGAGTTCTGGTATCCACGAGCTCGTCAAGTGCGGTTTTAGCATCTTGGATTTTAAAGCTTCTTTCTCGCAGGAAGTTATCAAGCGACTTGAAAAGCGGTACTCGGAAAAGGAGTGGACAGGGAAGTATGGTGGGTGAGGCAAAGTTTCTAGCCCAACTCGCGCAGCTTCCGTAGAGTCGGTTGTGCGCCGTGCCACCAAGCGTTATCCTTGAGAAGGATTGGTCCCTGTCTGTTGACCAGTGCCTGGCACATGTAGTATTCAGTGCATTTCGGTAAATTATTCATACAATCCGTTGTAATGCTTTCGCCTAGATTCAGAAAGATGTGGCTGATCAAAACAGCTGCTGGTCACCAGACAGTCACCATGACCATTTTTGCTTCAATTTCTGCCTTGCGAAGTGTTGCGGGGCCCACTTGTCGTCCAGCCAGTGAGCAATGCGTCTTAGATTGTCGTAAAGATCCACTTTTCATTGCACTTGACAATCCGGTCGAGAAACGGGTTATTTTTATTGCGTAGAACAATTGCAGACTACCCTTCAAAACAACAATTCCCTCGCTTTTCATTCAATTCATGTGACATCCACTCATCAAATTCTTTCAACTTCCTCATTCACCATCAACTTTTAACTATTCTCACATGCTATACCGCTAAGTTATAGGTGGCATTTTGAACAGTTGTACGCAAATCCGATTCTACTAATGCCCATAATTCGGGTTTTGTCCTGTGCGCGGCTGCGTCGATTACATTTTCACTTTGCGTCCATTACTAGAGCACCGTCACATTTTGGTGTTCCTCGACATCAAAGGTGTCTTCGATTCGCTTGATCCATGTGCCCTTTGGGACTGTCTACTCAAGAAATGTGTGCCCGAAAAAAAATGTGGATATTAACCGAACGCTGCACGCGCGTAGGTTGTGCAGATCGGCGACTTAAGGCAAGCTGTCGCAGCCCTTCAATATCTCCAACGGTGCAAGACAAGATTACCTGCTGCCATCTTTCCTCTTCAATTTCCCTATTGCTGAATTCATGGAGATCGCGTTCACAGGACACGACTTAGAAGGTGTGGACCTGCTCTGTGGTGAACGACTTCTTGACTTGGATTATGCTGACCACATCACCCTCATATGTGACGGCTAACAAGACGCCAAGCGGCAGTGGACAGATTGGCACTATCTCAGCCGTTTCTGGCTTTCCTTTGCACTCCGGAATTGCAATCTCTTCTTTCAAGATTAGCAGGGACGCCTCCTGCGCTGACCCTTGGTGGGGGTCAGCTAAAAGGCGTTCAAAGGTTCAAGTACTCAGTGTGGAGCGGACTACTGTCCAGCCACCGCCTTGTTTGCGCTTGATTCCCCAAATACAGCGTGTTTGTGTTTGCCTGCGAAGGAGTGTGGGCCGGATCCGTTGATGAAACGTGGCTCCCATCCACATACCTCCCGGTCTTATTCCTTCGGGTGTACACTGGATATGGGGTTTTTTTGGTTGGAGCTGTGGGTGGTGCAGCGCAAGCCACCCATGGTCCCTCTGTAGACGCAAGCGTCCTGTGGCTGGCCACAGTGACAGGCAAATCCGAAACCGAATGCTGCCAGCCATATTCTAGAAGACCAATGATAAATTGGCCTGGTTCCACAGCGTATGGAAAATTCGATAAGCTTACGAAGATAGAGGAAAAATGCAGTGTCCATTTGAATGGTGAGTCACAACAAGTCCGCCGTTGTGCACTACTTGTTGCCATATCCTAGAGTGCTTCCAGCCGTACTTGTTCTGGATCCTTCATTCCCCAGCTAGGGAGCCGAGAGCGCCTGACCACGGCTAACTTTGATATTACCTCCTTCATGCAGCTAGGCCAAGTCATACGTTGGCCACCTTGCTTTCCCTTCCAGTCGATTTCTGCGCGCGAAAAGGACGGCGAGGTAAACGATGGGTAGGCATGCGACGAACATGCCCAAGCCACTGAAGCTTGCGCAGTGAAATTATGCTGCTCAGTGGCCGGCAGAGTTTGATCTAAAAATCCTACGTCGAACATCTTCGTTAGTAGTGTGATGTTGCTGTCGTACACCAGCAATGCTCCGAAGGCAGCGGTGATCAAAAATAAACAGCCTCTCAACATCCTTTGCGCGAGCAAGCCAAGGCTCTCAGCCATAGAGCAGAATCGCTCTCGCTCGGACCTTTAGAGATTGACTCAGATCACCTCGACGCCAGCGATTTCGGAGATTGCCAAAGTAACCCGAGCCTTGGAGACGCGCAGAGACCTTACCCGTTAAACTGTTGGCGCTGAGGCAGCTTCCGAGGTAAACGGACTTGTCTACCACTTCCAATGAATGACCTAGAAGGATAAGGTTAGGAGCAGCGCCTAGCCATTCCTGTAATGAATAAGAGTGTGTCAGCTGTACGCCTTAACGGCGTTTCGCTGCTATGCGACCACCACCAGTCGCACGCGGGCTTAGTATACCGCGAGGACACCCACCCCTACGCGGATTCGTACCCGCGCCGTAAAATTACGAGACATGCTCGTTACCTCTAGGCTATGGGCCGACCTTGCATTTCGATGGTGCGAGCATCATTCTAAACTGGGAGACACCTCTAACCTACACAGGACATTTTGCGCGGACTGTGGGGAATCGCAGATTACGGCGTTGTCGTCTGCATTTAGTCATGTGTTGCGCGTGTCAGCTCCCCAACTCCCACGACTTGTTATGTTCCCGCGCCGGAGGTGCGCATAGATGATTTGTGGCCAAGCAACGACTTGGGCGAAAGGAATGATGGCCCTTACTTCGAAGTTGGCCTTGAGTGGAACCTCTAGGCTCTGGTTTGGGTCCGAAAGATGAACACCTTTGAAGGATACACTTGTTGACGTAGCAAGGAGCCGACATCTGTGGCGTTGATGCTGTGAGTTTCTTTGTCCCTCCCCCTCTAACCACGATCTCATTTATTAAGCCTAATATAACTCCTATTTACGGCACAATAGCCGTCTGTTAGCTCTCCGGAACGATGTCCATCGGTTACTGTTGCCTCAGCTCGATTGCAGGTTTTTCACCTTTTCTTATGTATTGCTGCACGATAGTTGGAGAAAAATTGTCAGCTTCATGAGCCTTGTTTCGTTTCAACACATCATGTCGAATCTCCTCTTAACTGAGTCGTGTGACCTCAGTTTCCACGTGGGCTTAAGTGGATCAGAAAACGACAGTGACGTATCAAGCCTGCGGGACTGTTCTGTACAATGTTCCACTCAACGAATTAGTCAACATAGCTGACAATGGATTAACCGTCCATCTGTCTCCGCTACTGTCTCGGTAACCTAGGACTTCCTTGGACCCGTATTCCGGATGAACCAAAACGGTTCTCGGTTGTATCCAGTAGCACTGGCTTTCTCCAACTCACGGATCCTCGCAATCTACCAACGTTCCTGGTTAATTAGAAGACTCCTTGTCAATTATAGTTCCAGGCTCGTACGGACGCCCTGAAAGTTAGTACCAACTGGAATTTGTCTCCGTGCTTCAATCCGTTCACAATTCGGACCTCTCAACTTCGGTATACAGCAAGAGGTAAAGGCATTCCTCCTAGCGCATTTGAGACGATTCCAGTCGACGTCCGGCTTACCCTCATTCATCCCTGACAACTGATGGGACAGTTCATCACAGTATATATGGTTGATTTGCGAATTCAACACATTCAATTTACAATTGCGAAGCTTATCAGTTAAGTGTCTCCTTGAAGCTGCATGAGTAGGCGCTAGACGTGTACCCACTGAAGCTTGATCGATCAGATTTGCAATAAATTAGATCGAATCCAGATGCACCAACGAAGTCGGTCGAAGAAATGACACGTCTGCTGAAACAAAATTTGACGCTGTGTTTCAGCATGGCCTAGGCCATTGCACCAAATTCACAGCGACGCTCTCCATGGGATCAGGAGCCTAGCTAGTCTTTAAAGCTAAACCTACTGTCCCGTATGCAGCGATGCCAATCGTTGAGCAAGAACTTGAGCGTCTAGAACGAACTGGCGTTATCACCCCTTTAAATTACGTCTCATGGGCCGCACCTGTTGTCGCAGTAAACAAAGTCAATGGTAGAGTACGCGTCTGCACAGATTTTTCAACTGGTCTTAACCCTGCGCTCGACGACCAACAATACCCATTGCCATTACCGGAAGACATCTTCGCAAAATTGAATGGTGGCTGGTGCTTTGCCAAGCTTGACTTGACTGGTGCATACCTTCAGGTAGATGTTGCCGAGGACTCGAAAGAACAGTTGACGATCAACTCACCGTGGACTGTACCAGTACAACCGCATGCCATTTGGCGTAAAAACGGCCCCTTCCATTTTTCAACAGCTGAGCTGCATCGCCTGCGTGCCCCGCGGAACAGTTTTTGGGCCAAAGACAAAGCCTGAGACTGGACACGGGAGTGCCAGCACACCTTTGAACGAATCAAGTCTTTACTGGCCACTGACTTGTTGCTGACTCATTACGACCCAACTTTGAAGATCATTATTACAGAGGACGCATCAAATCATGGGATCGGAGCAGTTATTTCGAATTTGTACCCAGATGGATCCCAGAAAGCGATCGCTCACGCGGTCAGGATTTTGACAAAAGCCTAGAAACTACAGCCAGACAGAAAAGGAAGCATTAGCCAGAAACTTTAGGGTAAAGCAATTCAACCTACTGGCTGGTCACAAACCTTTGCTGACCATCTTCGGCTCGAAGACGGGCATCCCTGCCTATACGGTTAACCGTCTCCAACGTTGGGCGCTCACTCTGCTGAGTTGTGATTTTGAGATCAGCTACCAAACAACCGCCTCCATGGGCCAAGCGGACGCACTGTCACGCCTCATAGATTCCCATCAGCAAGATGAAGTAGACAAGATCATAGCCGCAGTTGAGCTTGAACCGAACGTCAGGTTTCTTATGAGTGGCGCATTACGTGACATACCAGTGACGGCAGAAGCTGTACGAGCAAAAAACGCTTCGTGACCCGGTACTCAAGATGGTCGTACAATTCAACAGGAGCAGTTGGCCACACACATGTTCATCAGCCGAATGGCAGCAGTACTAACAAAGGAGGCATTCAATCTCCATCGTGGACGGCTGCTTATTCTCGGAACGAGTTATCGTGCCTAAGTTACTACATAAGCTCATACTCAGACAGTTCTATGCAGGACTTCCGGAGTCAACCGGATGAAGGCGCTTACCCGAAGCATTGTGTTCTGGCCATTCATTGACAGTCAACTGGAAGAAATGATTGAAAGTTGTCACAAGTGCGCTGCGGCTTCAAGGGCACCATTAAATACGGAACTCCATTCATGGCCAAAGCCAATGAAGCCGTAGTGCCGTGTCCACGTCGATTTCGCAGGACCAATCAACGGCCAGAGTTTTCTCATTGCTGTCGACTCTTACAGCAAATAGCCTGAAGTGTTCCTGATGAACAGCACATCGACCCAAGCAACCGTAACAAAACTACGGCAAATCTTCGCCAGATTCTGTTGTCCAGAGACACTTGTAACTGATAGCGGCACACAGTTCACCTCAGCACTTTTCACGGAGTTCTACAGACAATGTGCTGTCTAGTACATCCGCTCACCGCCGTTTCACCTACAATCGCATGACCAGACAGAGATTCGTGGATACTTTCAAGCGAGCTCTTCTCAAATCGAAGGAGGGACGTATAGAGGAGGTAATTGACCGATTCCTCTTCCTATACCGATCAACGCCAAACACAAAAGTGCCAGGTGGAGTTTCGTCATCACAGGCAATGATGAACGGAAAGCTGCGTATGCCATTGGATGCCATTCGACCAAACACGCTGCACACTGTTGGTGTATGAAACTGTAGCATGGAATTGGATTTTAACCGGCGGCATGGAGCTAAGCAACGCTCGTTCATGCCAGGGCATACATTGCTAATGGGGGACTATCGGATAGGTCACGCAAGTTAGACACGATTAACGGAAAGCGCAGAAATGTGATTTATGAACTGATCTTGGGGACGCAGACCTGAGTTCGCCATACAAACCAGCTACGGCCAACTCTGGGCCAACCGGAGGAAGTAAAACCTGCCGAGCTTCCGTTTGACTTGTTGGTATAGAGCTTCAACATGCCAAAGGAGGTTATGGACGATGGCTGTCCATCCAGAGACGAAAATGCATGACAGACTCCGGGACCGGTTTCTCGTGCACTTCAGCCGAGGTGATGAACCGACAGAATTCGAACACCGTCCAGAAGACTACAAGCCAATCCCAAGCTTTCTTTATACACTGTAAAGCCCATCTCAGGAGGGGAGATGTCCGGGGGAAATTAAGAATTACCCGGAAAATCCATTATTTTAGCGATCAATCGATTGTTTACGATTATAGCATCGATTTCGGATGTTCTGGAATGTTCTGAGAACCTGTACATGACCAGCGATATCCTGAAGATCGGCCAAATCTATGGGGAACAACTAACCTCGGTAGCTGATCATCTAATTCTAGAAGTCGAAGGTCATGAGGCGACCTATGACCATAGTCTGCCGCCTTTATACAGCTCCAGTTTGTCTGCAGTTAACACTTTGACTTTTTCCTTCCTTTGGGTTTGAGGTCTTGCGGAATAGATTAAGTACAAGTTTCGGAACTGCAGCACGTGAGAAGATTTAACAATCGGAATCCAGGCACCTGCCCTAAATTGACCGACAGTTTTGGACTGATTTCCGCCATCTATAGCTAATGGCAATATGGTCAATTTGGGTCCAGGTCATCAAGCAATTTCCGGTCCGTAGCCTAAAGATAGCAAACTTGTCTTGTAATCTGACGGCGCGGATTCGAGCCTACATAGCGGCAGGGCGACCCTCGCAGTATCCTTAGCCCACGTGCGACTGTTGGTGGTTGCGCGGAAGCTAAGCGTCGGTACTGCGTATGGACATACTGCTGATGACTTTTTTTCATCAAACAATTCGCTGGGCATAAGATGACACGATATAAGCGTTTGTGCTGGAAAGCAGTGCTGCTACTATGAAAATCGTAGTCAGCATGTAGTTGCAAGAAACTCCCGTCATCACCTGTTCGGTGTGCATCGACCACGAAAAAGACCTCCAAAAGTTGTTCAGAGTACGGAAGTCGACCAACTTGGGAATTTAGTTCTCCGACAACAATTACCACATCGGTTTTCGTCGCCTTCTGGAGAAGATTTACGATTCCACGATAGAAATCTTAAATACCTTCCAAACTGCACTCATCAGAGTCATAAACGGAAACGATGAGAACGAAATTTGTCTTCAGACTGTGCTTAGTAACCCCAGCAGAATTTGAAGTCAGACCGCACACATGCGACTATTTACTGATGTCCACTAGAGTAGATTGCTTCAGCATGTTTGTCGAGAGCGACCCCATAAATACCTTAAGGCATAGGTTCAGTGTCGCCAGAGACAAAGAGAGACATTCATTCTCGGCAGATTCTGAAACAGAGAGTCGGTAACTCGTCGCGACCCTGTTATGTGCTTGTTTCTCTGGTACGGCATACATCGATACCAACAGAGAGAATCGTGCCAGTTAGTGCTGTATGTTGGGCGACCTGACCCGAAATGCGAATGTTAAACGAACCTGTATTATGTGTGACCCTTGGTTTGTTTGACAAGTTTCACGTCGCAATAGCGATAGCTGCGAGGTCCGCGCCAGTCTGCCGCCTACTAGACGGGAAGGAAGAAGGTTACAAGGGACTAGAAAGTGAAGGCGATTCATCTACATCTTAACACAGGTCGCACTTGGACATTGCGCGCTCTTAACTGAGTCGATAAGCTGCTATTACACGCACGAGTACTTTCGGTACTCTTAGTTGGACACTGGTTCACGGGATATAATTCACCCGATGTCTTTTACACTAGAGTTGCGTAAAAGTGGAGGTTAATCGGCATATCAGGGGTTTCTTTCGTAACCTTAGCAACAACTGATTTACGACCGACACTTTATCGCTCCCCCAAATAGCGGGGTGTAGTGAGCCTTTTGTATCACTGACTTCATGAGAAGCTTCGTCTGCCTTCGCGCTACCAACGAAAGTGCGGTCACTGTGGAAATGTGTCAAAGAACCTTATGATACGTAGTGTTTGACCGACTTTATGTTAGTTCACGCGAATGCTGTTGGCGTCGTTTTCTACTATGGTCAGCGTATTGGGCCAACATGACCTACGTATACCAGTTTTCTCACGCTATATTTATTTATGTAGACCAATCATTCTCTTACACATGGCCACGCTACCATCTTAGAGTTGCGCGAGAATCGTTGAATCTGATTTCGAATCGCAAATTACCTTCAGTAGAGCACTGCTGCTACGAACCTGCGTTTTATTCGGTGAGCCTACTCACCGGTTTTTTAAAGAACCTTTATGATAAACAGATCCATGTCAAGCTTTGCATCACGTATTTACATGCACTTTCTCTCCATTTGTTTGTCAATACCTCGCCTTTTCGTTTCATCACTTCGAATCAAGCTCCATTCGTGTGCGTCGGTTGATTTTGCTTCTCTCTGTCTCACATACAGCGTCAAGTGGTCGTAATCCGGAATCGTTACTGGTGCTAACAGCCAAGGCGACCGCTCTTCATTTCCCCTTCGAGGTAGTCGAATCCAGTCCCTTGGTTATTCCTGAGGAACTGCAACGTCTTATCGCGTTTCACAGCTTTCCTACGGATGAAGATGATATATGGCTGTACTCTTGCTTGAGCAGCGGTGGCTCCTACGAGTTTGATCAAGGAGAAGCTCTGTGGGCTGACAAAGCTGTGAGGGATTGTGTTCAGATAGGTCAGTCTATCTCTCTGACGTTGCGAGCTATGCGGTACCACTGCATGATAATTCCTTTTTCATCAAGAACCCATATCGCTTCATCCATATATGCTACACTTTTGCGATTGCGGCTTCAGAGTTCCAGTTCCCGGTAGATTGAGCACAATTGCAGCGCACTTATCTTTACTTACTCTTCAAAATGTTTGCCATGCATTTGGTCTACTTGTTCATCTTTTAGCCATGCTAATTGTTAACACGAAATCGATCATGCTAATCTATTTTCTTTGTTTTTAATTTCGGATATGTGCATTGCAACTAGGCAGATTGATCCCTTACATCAACTGCTCAGTTTCAAATCATGTGATTCACATCTCGTCAATTCTAATGCTCACCTTTTATTTATTGGTTGTCGTAACATTCACGCGATGACTATTGCCAACATGGGCATTCATCTATGCACCTTTGATAGGGCCCACATCGGTTTCACGATACGGGGTCTTTGACGACAATGTCACACCATCAAAACTTTCAAATGTTCCATTGTTATCTCAGATGGTCTACTCTTGATGTTGGCCAGGTGGATGGTGGGCTCAACAAACGAGTCAAAACCCAAACAACAAACCCTAGTCACCCTTGATTGCGAGTTATCGCAAACATGCTGTAAAGATTATCCCAGTGACTAATTTACTTGTTCACCAACCCGCTTTGCCGCAGCCGTGACACCCGGTAGTCATAATTCGGTATGTTGAATTGAATCAGGACTTGTTGTTTCCACTGCTTATTTAATTGCTCAATATCAACCTCATTTACGGTGTTCCAGCACTATTCATCATCTGGCCTCTGTGAAAGACTTGCATTGGCTACGGACTTCCTTAATAGGTATGTAAATCTTGCGGTTCGAGCTGACACGATCCCATTTGTTTTTACGCATATTTGGACCATTACCAAGATTTTTTTAACTTCAGTCCCGTACTTTTGTACATTAACGTTGGACTTCGGCACTGTTCTTCCATGCTGTTGGGGACGCAGCGTGCGTCATCAGATCCCTGTTTATTGAAAAACTGAAGAGTCCACGGATCGCCTGTTTAGCCATATATGTAAGGCTTTACCTCTCACTGTTCAATACCAATTTCACTACATTGATTTGAGCCTGTCAGTAGTGTCATACGTTTTAGATCAGGTGTTCAGCTTCCAGCCTTCGTACGTCTTCGATGCTGCATGGATTTGTATGCTTCCGCAGTATTCCACCCACGTGGACCAACGCAGTTGCATCGCAGCGAAGCACTATTATGAAATACTGGCTTATTGCCGACACCATTTTCTCCTTCAAGCCTTGTTTCTTAGTACAAATGACGTCGGATTACGTGGACTACTGTGCCCATACCAGTCTGTCTCCCATTGTGTGTCTCTGTTCCAACAATCGCTCGTTTTACGCTTCATCTGCAAACTTGTTGGCACAGTTGAAAAGAAGGAACAAGTTAGATTTTCTGTCCGTACATCAACAGGCTAATTTTCTTATACGCAAATACATCTTTGTACTCAATTCCAATACCACCATTGCGTTACAACGTCGGCTTTGTTTTTCTACCGTCTCCAGGTTTCTTTTTAAGTGCAACCGTCCTAACCAGCTTGCTTATCGCTCCGGCATCGCAAAATCATCTAAATGCTGATAGGGACGCCGCTTTTGCGACGACTACGTGCGCCGCCGCTGTTACATCGGCTTCTCATCAAGGCGTCTCTGGGTGGGACCCCGCTCTAGACACTCGTCGTTTGCCACCTAACTCGGAAAGCAATCTGGGCACTGATGGAGTTGCGGCAGATTCGAATCATGTATTTGGTTTTAACATCGAACCGGGCTATCCAGCACACCGAGTCTCCATCACGTTCGACCGCAATCGTATAACCTCTTGTTCGTGCACGTGCACATTCGACGTGGATGACGGTTGCGCTAACATAACCTCTCCTCGCAATTTGCCGGAGGACAAAGCTAGTCGCGGTTTGGACTGCGGCTTATCTGATTTCCCCAATCCCGCGGCTGCACAGACTTCTGGCACATTCTCCTACCAACCTATGAATTCCAGTGATCCGAATACAGCACAAAGGCGAGGACTGCCTCGTATCAACTCGGGACTTGGCTTGTTCCCCAATGCCAACCCTGGTAACAGTCGCCTTGGGCCCACTGTCCCTTCTTTACTGCCACGGCGCGGTGTACGTGGAGTGGCTTCCGATCAGAGGAACAGAAATGAACCTTCTTTGTGCAGCCTCTTTAATTCACTTTTCGGAGCTTACCACAACTCTTCTCATGATTTGGCCGGCGCCACTGGTGCTAACGTTACTCCACCTGGCACATGGTGTTCCCATGTCGTTGCCGCTTGCTTGATGCGCATCCGACAGCCCGGGAAGGTTCTTCTGCGTGCCCCAATTTCGGAGTCCCTCTCGAGGTTGACCAAAGATGACTTGCAAAAGTTCGCTCAGAATCTTATATGCCATGTTGGACCGAAAAAAGTAAGTTGTCTGGGCCTACACGTGTTCACGACCATCTCATTGACGTTCTTGCGTGGCAACTAGTCACTTTCATTTCCGTTTTTAATTACCTTTTCTTCCTCAGCATCGCTACTGTACGATTTCGAATGTAACCACAGTCATGCACTGCTGTCCTTTTGGACTTTTCTGCAACCCTACTTTAAGCGTTTGGGGCTAGCGTTTCATTAGTGCGATTCAGCTCACTATGCTACCTTTAGACTAATCATCGTGAAGCCGATTTTTTCTAACTGTTCGACACTTTATCGCGACAGGGTCTTATGGGCAGCTAATGCCCTCCGATTGCTCATTCCGAGAGGAGTTTTGTTCGAGGTGTCTTAATTCTAACCTTAAATTTAACAGCTTAGCGCACCTGGCAACGGAGTTAATTGGAATTCACTTGAGGACTCCACTCGGAACTTTGGTTTCACTGTGAGCTGGCCCACAATGCAGTGTGGAGTAATCCAACGTTGGAATGTGATTGCAGAATTCCATGGGGATCTTCTTGGTCCCTGGCACGTGTAACTTCCAAATATTTCTGATAATGCAACCAGGTTTTCCGAACGTTGCAGGTTGCACATTTCCGATCAAAGCCAACCGCAGGATAGAGTTGGCGGGCTTGCGCCCATTTCACCAGGGGCTGCCTGGCTTGTGGCGGTCGGTAGCGAGAGCGATGTTCTGCTCTCGTCAGAGACAACGCGTGGCACTCCTGCTCTAGGCCAATTGAGCTGTGGGCTTATAGCCCGTATCCTCTTGTCTCATATAGACATCGACCTCTCGCTCCTCCGAAGAGTAGCGTCCCGAGACTGAGTTGGTCTGTCCTCCAATGTTTGCTCTGTATGACGCGGTTGGCTCTAATACTATGAGAGGCGTAGTTATTCCGCGAAATATTAAGGAAATAGATTTTCCAGTTTTAATCTTTCCCCTTTCTGAAACATGCATTTCCTTTTATAATTCCAAATGAAAATATCAGAAGACTATGATTGTGGGATGACACTGTCATTTCGTGCATGCTCGTCAACCACATACAAGCAACTAACAAAGAATGCAAAACAACGTCACATGAAAGCAAATATTGATCAAGTATTTCCCATTTGTTACATTGCACGCTACCGCGGTAGGCTTAATGTCACTGCCAGCTGTTTTTGTACACACAGTGGTGGATGCTGTCGGTCGTTAACATAATTTTACACTTATACTGGCGTTTCATTGATGCTTGATTATATTCAATGCATCTGTACATCAGTACTTCACTTAGTACATATGAAAGAGTTTAGGACCATCCCTGCTTCATTTATTCATCACTGTGAAAATGTTCACATCTGAGGAATTCTCCTGGATGTCTAGACAGGTGGAAAGCAATTGACTCTAGGTCAGGACTATAATGCATCAGCAGTACGCCTTTGTGCAGTACCGACGCTTCGCTGGCACCCAACCATCACCAGTCGCACATGGGTTAAGGATACTGCGAAAATCTCCCGTCCCCTTCTCAGGCTCGAATCCGCGAACTCCGGGTTGCAAGGCAGTCACCTTGCCCTTTCGGCCAAGGACCGGATTTGTGGGATTTGACGATGCGATCCAGGAAACACTGGCATTACAGCCCTACACTTCAGTGCAGACTTTAACTCATATGTGCCGGTAAAAAGCAAACAGTTGTTTTTGAACCCCTATGGTGCTCACTTTTCGTAACGGTAAATGATTTTGAACTCTTACGTTTACCATTCCAAATAACAGATTCAACGCCTCCAGTTTCACGACACGTTGACAGTTGACAGAGCTCAACTGTTGCGAGCAGCAGTCAAAGATAACGTGTCGTTTTCGTTTTGGCCCACTCTCCTGCCCACCTAGACTCAGGCATTCGAAGGTGACTGCTCTAGCGTCCTTCCGTTGATTAAATATACGAGCACCTTGATTTTTCTCGTGACATAGATACTTTTGTCAACCGAATTCGACGCAACACCCCATGGGACACTTCTTTGTCGATGACAATGGTGGGTATTTCAACTTGACATCTATCACAGGCTCCTTGTCCTTCACCTATGCTCATGAACCATCACGGCATCCTACCGGAGTCTTCAGATTTGTCCATTGGCGCTGCCATATGTCGCGTGCAATGATATGGTCAAAGCCAGTACCATTAGAAGTGGATAAGTTTTGCTTCGATCCCTCCCATACGTGCGTCCAAAGTGTTTGTGAGTGAAAAAGCATCACACAGTACCGAAGCTTCGCTGCCGCGCAGCCATCAGCAGTCGCACGTGGGTTAACTATACTGTGAGGGTCACTCGGTCTCCTACACACTCTCGAACTCGCGACCTCGTGCTTGCAAAGCAGACGCCTTATCCTTTCGTTGACGGGCCGGCTTGTTTTCACTGGATCCGATCAGTTTCGTCAGTCAGTCATCTTTTTGCCAACAAGGTGTACTTAATCCATTTACACAGTGACCCACGCCGTCATACTACAATTATGACAACTAGGTGGGCATAGAGTGCATATGGGTAAACTTGAACGCAGAACTAGCCACTTATCGCTTCTACGGCTGATTCCATGGGACTCATCCAAATTGACTTTATGTGCTTTTATTCGGATTTTGAAGAAGATAATGACAATGTTTGGTGAGCAACATAGTATGTTGTGTTTCCATCGTTGATAGCGCAGCTAATCACGCATTCTTCACCTCCAGCAAAACATTCACTCACACCCAGGACTTGCAACTTTGTTCACAGGCAAGGCGGACTCGAGTACATAGCTCAATAGTAAAGACCTAGTGAAAAGTTTCTTGCCACCAGAGACTACCACGGGCTCAGTAAAATCCTCTTTTTGGTTAGCTCGAAAGTGTTATCATTGACTGATTTCATCGCAAGATTTGCTCCTTTGCTGACACCTGGCCAATGGGCTACAAGCCCCTGTTCTGGCTATCGGCACGGAAGCGGACTTACTAGTCTTACATTGGCTTCATCATCGGCACTTTCATCCTTCTCAAATTGCTAAACTGCGACGACTCATGGGTACTCGTGAAAATCGAATAAGACAAGCTTTCACCCCAGTAGAGGGCACATTAAAAATATTTTAAAGTTTTGTATAGTGATTGAACGGCACCATGCTTAAGCCTATTTTCACCGTGGTTTTTCTCGACCAAATTCCTTTGCCGTAGTTACTCTTTTCGGATCGTTTTATCCATCGATGGTAGCCGTGCTAACCTGAATGTCATCCAATTAGTACTGACTCCATCGTTGCAGTTTCCGTGATTATTGTATGCTCGCCGGATCGACGAACACGTAAACTATCCGGCATAGCCTAATAGTCGTTGTAATTCAGCCGTATAACCGTCTCTCTGTGCAACCTGTCCCAATGCCTAACTTTTCCCATTTCAGATTCTGCCAGCTGCTCAGCACATTTTAGACCAACTGTTGGCCTCAACTGACAACCCCATCAAAAGTTCACTCGGAGCGCCAGGTTTGTTCCGGACTGCTCATCTCTTGTTTCTTTTATCCGCCCGATGTATCCATCGGTCTGGTACCGGATTCTCTGTTATCTGCCTTCCGTATCACCGGCGCTTCATGTGTCGGTGTTTAACGCCGCGGTTGCGCACTTCGGCGCCCTTGAATTGTTCTCTTCTCTCATTACCCACGTGTACTTCTCAACCCAGCAGTAATCCCTCTGAACGTGATGACACTAAGCGGGGCTACTATCTCTATCGTCCGATGAATCCGTTTGAGAAGATTGTATTGACCATTTCACTAAATGCGGACTTCTCATACACTTATGAGTTACTGCGAGGTAGTTTTCCGCTCACAGTACCATTCTTTCTGTTCGAAGCTGATATTTAGTGGATACAATTGTAATTGCGATGGTCTAGGGACGGGTGGAGCCTATTCCGAACAGTACTGAACACACCCCCACACAGATAGCGCGTCGTATGTACGCTGCAACGATGAACCGGAAACACTACTTCAAGTGGGTTGTTTCTGGCGTGGCTTGCTTAATAACGATGACCTTTTTTGCTTCTGATCTGCGTGCGATGCGGTTTTCTACAAGCCGTCTGAACAGATTCCGCAAGGATTCCTGTGAGTTGGCATGAACGACAGTATTCGTGAGTTACCACCGCAAAAATGCTTCTCAACTATGATCGTGTGAGACAAAAAGAATCTTTTTGTACCATTACTGGTTTCCGTCCGATTTAGATGCGACAAGATCATGACAAGTTTTCAACCAATTTCAAGGGTAATTCAGGTATCCATGTTGGTCTTACTTCCGATATCATCTCCACCACAGCGTAAAGGAATGGGATGGCGTAATTCTATCCACGTTTCCTCTAGTGGAAACCTATCATTCCACTTTTGAATCGAACCTTGCTGATTCTTATCGCCTTCCGAATTTGAGCCTTCGTTTCTCTCCAAATCGGGCACAAACACGAGGCTGGCGACAGTGGTGTTCGTTGTCTTATTCTGACTCCTAGCTATTTCTCCCAATGATTTCCTATATTGCTCATTTATACTTAAGTATAAACATTAGTGTTATTAGCATGGATAGAGTTACTTTGTCGATGTAAATCAAAGTGACTGCATCCACCGCACTTCAACCCACTGGTTCGAACTCTGACCTAACATCTTTTGGGTTCGTCCCTATTGACTACTCCGCGTTTTTCTCCACCTTATTCTCTGGGCTGCTGTCGGGACCTTTGAGTAATCGGGTCTTTCGCCACTATCTTGCTCTTGCGAAGCGCAATTTCGACTTATCTGGCACATCAGGGTGAATGCGTCGCCTATGTTATTCCCAGGCTTACTCGGTGCGACTGCACGCAGTCACTCTACTCGATTGTGAATAACTAATCATGCAATCCTTTTCTGGGCCATGACTCCGAGATGTTAATGTGCATAGAGCCAGGTTTAAGAGCTGCAAGGACTAAACTTTTTAGTACCAACGATGCAATCGGTCTTCTGGAAGTGCTGGCCACCACATTTATGATACAAAGCCAGTATTAGCCTCCCAACTTCGCCATGTGTGTCGGGTGAATACCCGATTGTTGAAAATGCCCATTCCTTATCATACTTTGTCTCTTTGATGTTGGTGTTGATCCCACTGCACTCGTAACTAGTATAGTGTATGTCGAATATCATCCTTAACTACGATTGGCTCACCTTGAATCGTTATGTCGGCAGGTTATACGAAAAACGCTAGCACATAATTGCTTCTTGCAACTTTGCTTCACCTTTTGCAATGCCCCTCCTTTCTATCACTTAGTGACTCGGAGATGGAATTCCGTGATAATATCCGACCCGCAAATGATTCTGAATACATTATGGTTACTGAACAATCAAGCTACAGCGCTAAGAGGGCATCTAACGGTTCGCGTGCATTTTTCGTTGGAAACCCACATTGCACAGGTTCTGTACAATCTCAGATCTAAGCACAACTATGAATTATGTATCGCTTCTTTCTCGAACTAAATCCCGAACTTTAGTGAACCCACATTTTGGTTCTCCGTACTCCCATAAATCTTTTCTCTACTTCCCCATCGATGTGCAGCTTTTTCAAACATGTTTGAACTGACAATTCACTTACGGATGTTTCCTCACCGATCGAGGTGGCATTTTTGCTGTCCAGGGGTTAGTAATTCAATTAGTAGGCACCGAACTCCGGGATGGATGCTGTCAGCTGTGCAACTGACCCAAATACGCACTTCAGGCGTTTATAATCGAGCCTTATCCAGATTGGTCGCCAATTATTTTATTCTGGATGCTTGAAGGGTTGCCACTAGCTACCGAAGTGGGATGTGATTTCGCACTCTCATTGACGCAAAGGTCGCACTAGCCATGGACGTAGATGCGAAGGCCATTCTGTTCTCTTCTGTTACTCCAAGCCTTGGTTTCCAATCTGTCCGCTTTTTTCGCTTCCGAGTTGCCATCACGTAGGGTCTAGATCAACCCACATTTGGATTGGGTTCTTCGCAGGGAAGTCCAGATCAGGAGCTATTCTTGATTCCAGTATGACAGACTATTAAGTTTGGCCCGGGCCTTTAAATCGGCCGTTGTCTTTTTTGTCGAACATCATTTTTACATTATCTACTGTATATATCTCATTATTGTACGATTACGCTGATAGATATTTTGTTCCAACAACTTCCAAGGTCATTTGGGCACTTTACTCCATCCAACCTTGAACATACACGCCAGATATCGCGCGCGGTCCGCGATCTATTGTCTTTGGACACAGAATTTTACGTCAGTTGAAACGAATTCTGAAGCATCATTTTCCGTTTTCAAAGGATACAAATCCCGGAGATTTAGTCTAGCTTTTTGGAATCGTTTCTCGATCCATCAATGACAGTGAATCCTCAATTTTCTACCTTTTGTAAACTACATTTTTAATGGTAACCCATTAGTAAGTTTACCGTTGATAATTTAAATACTGAAAATGCACCCTTTTGAGTACATAAAGCTTATACTGACTTAAAATGACCGCGATGGCGTACAGCTATACATTCGGTCTTTGTTGTGCGGGAGACTGGTAAGCACCTACCAAACTAAGTCTGTGCGTACAGTTGTGGTGCTCGATCCATCTGAGGCGTGGAGTATGGTTCGTTGGTTAGCCCGATCTAACTATGATGGAACAACACAGGGGTGTATTTTGTAGCTATGTATTCAGTCCGTATATCCTCCATCAACATGAGCTACCCTCAGCGGGAATGGCTAATAGTTATCGCAGGTTGCAATTTCAGTTTGATCTCAATTGCCTTTAATTTACTTGCTTCTATCCTTCTCCATAAACCGACTATTACCCGTGGAAGCTAGACTCATGAAAAACATCCCGGGCGGGTTTCCTCGAGATCGGGGCTGTGTTGGTCAAATCTTCCCCTTACCTCGGTTGTTGGAACACCGTCATGTTTATTGACAACTCACTATAGTCGTGTTCCTTGACATTGAAGGAGCCTTCCATTCAATGGATCGATATGCCCACCGGGACTGTCTGATCAAGAAGATATGCCCCATGAATATGTAAGTGCCATACGAGCACTGTACTCGCATAATTCAGACAGAATGAAGGCTTTTTCCAAACTGTTGTCACCCTTCAATATCTCCAGTCGTGTGAAACAAGCTTGTCCACTGTCACCTATGCTTCTTAACTTTACCATAGGCGAATTCCTGGAAACTGTGTCCTTTGGGCACGACTTAGAAAGTGTGGAACTGCTACCTGCTGATCCGTAACACCAGATAAATTTGCGAAGCGGTCATTCAGCTTTTGGCTATGCTTCGCACCCTAAAAATGCAAACTCCCTCTCAAAACCTTACAGAGACCCACTCATGCGCTGACCCTTTTTGGTGACCAGCTGAAAGTTGTTCGGAAACTTAAGTAACTAGGTCGCTATATTAGCGCCTGTGGGATCGAAGATAAGCTTACGAACCGTATAGCAAAAGCTGGAGGTGCTTTTGCCAATGTCCGCCACTTGTGCCGACGCGATATCACTCTCGCTCCGAAGAATAGTTTACAATGCAGCCGTCTGTTCAACCCTCCTATACGGTTGTGTACTCTGGCCCATCAGGTCGACAGACATAACGAGACTAGTCACGTTCGATCATCGCTGCCTTCGCAACTTAGCTCATGCCTGGTGTGAGCACTGCGTTAGCAATGAGCGCGTTCTGCGTTGTATTTATTCGTTGCAGGAAGACCGAGTGAATCGCTCAGCACCATTATATCACCCACAAGGCGCCGATAGCTGGGCCACATGTTGCACATACCAGCACACTGACTCCCACGACGTGCGTTGTTTGTGCGATCGGTGTCTGGACAGGAGAAGAGATGGGGCGGTCAGCCGATGACTTGGTCGTGAGTAATAAAGGTATTCACTTGATATCTGAAATCGGTTGGTGGCTCTATAGCGGTTTGAGACACGATCAACACGTTTGATTGGATATCCTTAATGGCAGGACGAAAAGCCTGCCCCATTGACTTTTGTGTTGTGATCTTCTTTGTTCTTCCCTCTCCAGCTTACTTTCACCCTTTAACCGCGATCTCATACTGGGTGTATCATATGATAATAAGCATTATATTACTTATTTTTGGTCTTGATGTTGTATGCCTTAATTTTTGGTATCTTGCTTTTTCATATATCCTATCTTTTGATATTGCGGCACTATAGCTGGAGTGGGTTTCTCACTTCTTGCTACCGTGTAATGATGCTCCTCCCCGTTTGATGTCGGTTCTCTCTACTAACAATTCAGGAGATAAATTAGGCAGAATGAAAATCTTAGCTCAAAAACAGCGGTTTCTCCTTCGCTTCTGCGTCCCTAGCCAGTGCGACTATTGTATCATCTAGATTACGGGGCCCATTTCACTTTGCAGCCGTGTTTGCACTCTCCAGTGCCCATTGCTCGGGCATTCTGAGAGGAATTACTCGCAACCCATCCGGGGATGAACTCCGATTAAAAGCTAGTGAAATTTGCTTCAGAGCTGACCTGGCATTTGGCGGCATCTGCTCCGAGTTCGCCTGAGACTCAGTGACTGTTAGCAACTCTGTTGATCGCGTAAGGCATTGGGAATGTCACTTCTATCGGTTATTGAAACGTCTGCAGCGAGTTATCCTGCTCGGTGAACACATCAGCATCTAAACGTGCAGCTCTGAACTACCATAATTTTCAGGTTCTTGCAGCCGTCTGAATTTATTCACTTTTTGGTTTTCTCCCTTCTATTTTCCAAGACCCGACTGCCGGCGGAGCTATTGGGGATGCCGCAGCGTGGTGTTTCGATGGGGCTGTGCTCGAGGAGAAACTGCGTGTCACTTTGCAGCGGTTTTGGTCATCTAAGCCGAGTGTGATTTACAGCGATATCTGTTCTCTGAATTCGGACTCACCTTTGGATGTAGAGAAATTCCACTGCGTCCTTCATTCCCTTCGCGGCAACGATCCTAGGGGCGTGTGGGATTTGCTGTCCATTATTGGTGACATGATGCGGAGGCAAGACAACAATGGTGTGCTTTTGCTGGAGATTGTGACCAGATGTATCATCGATATGCAAGAGGTATGGGAGTGTGTGTTTGTGTGTACGCTCATTTGCCTTGTCCTGTTTCCTTTCTGACAATGACTCCTTGCCATAGGAGCTCTAGCGATACACTGCACGCATGGTTAATCCGCTGTACCTAGTCACAAGTTCTGCTGTCCTCTGAGAAAAATGACATTCTAAAATGGAAGCCTAGTTGCCATTGCGGTGTCAGAGAAACAGCGCGCCCTTTTTATTTAGCAAAATGCGTCACCCTAACGGTTCGAATGGCTTTGTCACTTAAACAACGTTTAAATTCGTAAGTTATTCCACTTAACTGATTTAACAATTTCTGTTAGATCTATTCAGTTGTACGCAATTTTGAATCAGTTTTTCATCCGAATAACAAGCTATCTTTAGCTTAGCACAATTGAGCCAGGTCCGGTCTCTGCAATATCCCGGTCAGTGGCCAAATTTGAACATCGCCATAGATCAATTTAATTAAAGCCACGCTTTGTTCCAACGAATCTTCATCCATTCGTCACAGCAAGGTGTCCTGAAAAGATAACTTACAGTCTTCCTCCGTCTCAAATGTCAACTTCAACGATGGATGGGCGCTGTTAGGCCGCCTCAGTGGATGAACATAGTCAGTATGGGTCTCGCAAACAATGAACGTATCGTTAATAGCAATCAAGTGATGCGATTAGATATTAGATAAGTTCTTTCTCAGATTTCGCTATGAAAAGGTCAGCAAGTTGCTGTCCCAAAGGCGGGCCCCATCGCAGCCATCTATTTGTCTATGAAATTTCCTATCAAACAAGAACTGTCTGTATCTTGGAATAAATTTGGAACCGACAGAGATTTCATTATCTCATGAGGTTTTAAAATACGAATCGGTTTTCTATGGGCTTGTTTTGTGACAACGTTTCGTCATTGACGCAAGATTTTCAGGCCAGGTGAACCAGTACAGATTTGGCTTGACTTTTTATAGCAGTTAGAACGATGGACGCGTGAGATAACCTGGGTCAGTGAAAAGATGTGGTTACAGTTTCATAGTGTTAAGGGGTCAATCTGGTGGGATATCCTGTATGGAACTATCCCAATAGATCCATGTAATGGGTCATTCACCTCTGAGGCAGTGATTATATTGCTCTTGACTTTAGTGATGATAGTTCGACGTTTCCGCTCCAACCTGAGTCCGTCCGCCAAAGCTGCTCACACTGGCCGAGTTAAGCTATTTCGATAGTTCCACGCCGTCTATTCTGTTTGCGCGTTTACTGACGTTCGCTGTTCCTAGAGCCTCAGCAATTAATCTTTCGATTGTTTTTCTTGCTCCTTAACTAATGATTACATTGTCCCAGTCGATTGCGTGTCCCGAGTCTAGCGCATGTACCGCTATCGCCAAATCTTTTACTAAGCCCTTTTATTCAGACTCATTTTTGATGAACGCGAAACGTACCCTTTGTGTTCTGCTATCTTAATGCGTAGGTCGGTCGCTGTTTGGCCTATGTACACTTGCGCGCAGTTCCTGCACCTGATTTTATACACGCAACTGTCTATTGAATGTGCAACATAACTTCAGTTTTTTGTGCTGAAATGCCGATAGTGATATTATCTGTTAAGTACTCTCTGAGAAATTTGTCGGTTTCTGACACCCTAACGCCTGTAAACACTGGTTCCACCTCGAAGGATAGCATCAATTTTTCTTCCACGTTTCTACCTTTTATCCGCTTAATGAATTCGAAGGTGTCACTCACGTTGTGGCTTGATAACTTTTTCTTAGTGGATCGAGGAGCTTAACTTATCGCTTGGCGACTGAGTGCACTGCTAACCCAGACATATCAATCATAGGGCGTAGTGGGATGTTAGCTCTGTGTACTTTTGGAAGACCCTAGAGACGAGGTGGGTGCAAGCCACAGAATGTTAGTCGGTCAAGCAAGTGCCATCGATATGGTTGCAACGCTTCAGTTCTTTCGACAATTTGATGCTTTTGCTCTCAATTTGCGTAGTGCTATCTTGTTGTACCGGGTCAATCATGAATCCGCTGGAGTCATCCAAAATAACGTGCATCTTTGACATATAATCTGACATATGCATGTTTGCTCAACCCGATCCTTTTTCCGGCCTGGGGCGGGGGGGGGGGGAGGCAGTAACTCCGCTGTAATGGTGTCGCCTAGATTTAGAAAACTATGATGGATCAGACCAGCCGTAGACCACAAACTAATCATCATAAGCATTTTAGGGTGCAATTTCAATTTTTTGCAAGTGTTGTAGAGCTTCGTCACTGTTCACCTATTGGACAGCGCGTCGTCGATTGACACAAAAGATCCACTTTTCATCGTACGTTGCATTCCAGTTGAGAAACGGGTCGTTTTTATTGCGTAGATCAAGGACACTACAGAACGACGATTTCTTTCACATTTATTCAATTCGTGTAACACCCATTTATCAAACTTTTCTATTAGAATCATACATGTTTGAAAATGGTCATATGCCATAATGCCAAGTCAGAAACAAAGTTCCGGACAATGATATGCGGATCAGCTCCAACTAAGGCCCTTAATTGATCGTCCCTTACTTCTCGTAAACTTTTCGAAATTTTTGTAACCAACCTTGTGCAATTCGATCATTAGTGGTTCCATGAGTAAATGCACTGCCGATTGGCGCAAGTTGTTTTCGCTACATTTCTCCAAGTTTAAATTGCAACGGAAAGTCCCGCAAATTTACTCTCTGTCCACGTTGCATTAAATGTTCTGTAAAGTGTAAAAACGTCTTTCTAAGCTAAATTATGGCTACTCATTGATAGATCGCAGCTCCTCATCATCAACAGCAGTACATCAGCCATTTGAACTGATGCTTCGCTGCCATAGAACCATGATGATCTAACGAATAAAGAATAATAAGAGGGAGAGAAGGGGGCTTACCTTAAGACCATAACGCTCTAAGCAAAAATTCAGGGTCAGGACGCCTACACCTTGTGTAGACAACCTACCGTCACAAACAGCTGGCTATCGTGCAAAGATAAGGCGGCATCGGCGAAACAGCTTCCTTGCAACTTTCACTGCCACACGTCTTAATCAGCCATTACCCCGCACATAACTCAGCACCAAACACATTTTAAACAGGAATCCGACTAGGAGACGGCAGCAGACGCGCCACTGGTGTCGATTATGAGCCATGTCCTGTAAATCCTCGAGCCAAGCACAAGGCGAGTCACGTGAACTCAAACCCGGAAGGCGAGACGGACCAACGGCACCGCGTTTGGTCGTCAGTGACTTCATTTCTCGCTGATAAGTCAACTTCTGTCCACCTCGAGCCTTGCACAGAACGCGCTTCAAAATGATGTGAAAGGTTAAGACAACTTATAACAAGTTTATTCATCAATGCACGTATTAAAACTAACCTCAAAAACCGCAACGACCTTGTTATCTACCTGATAGTACCACATTGTGCCCCCCTCACCAACCGTCCGCTTCATGTGATCCGTCTGTGTGTGCATTTTCGATCTTCCCTCCCCCACTTATGTATCCATGAAAGAATAACCACAGGCGACATTCATTCCATCAAACATGTGTCCCATAGTAATGCGCGCGAAGAATACAAACTAGCCGATACAGTTACTTTGTGATAAGTGCTAACGTAGTTTCTTTTCCATTGACAGATCGTTGGGCTCAGCGGCTGACACATCTGTCTAGTTGCTGAGCTCATATTTTTTCTCACCTCTGTGTTCGAATCGCCGTCCGTCTTTCTCACTAATCCCATGTTCGTCAATGTATCTCCACATTTCGTGTCTCGGTTCCGCGATAGCTGATGACTTGGTGGTGCGTGGCTAAGACGAAAAACAGCGTGATCACTAAAGGCATGCCCATATGCCAACGTCAGACTCAATACGCAGCGTTGTGGATGTGTGAGGAACTCGTGCATCTCTGGCATTTGGCTTGTCTCAGCCCCGACCTTCGGCCTCAGTCACATTCGTTTGGGGTGGATCGTATTCCCTCCGGATCCAGCTGCGCGTCCGCCAGCAGCAAAACCACCACCGGTTCGGGTTCCCATCCATCATCATCCGATTGCTGGCTGCTGCAACAGCTGTCTCGGAGGCTCAGGGCATTTCATCTATTTGCCTTAGAGCAAGCAGGGTTCCAGCCGCAGAACTTACGACCGAACGCGGACGTGAGATCCTCTCCACCAGGAGCGAGCGCCTCTGCAGTTACCAAGCAGGGACTTTCGACTGTGGACTACGAGCGATTTAGCGGCTTCAAACCCGCTCTCGCAGCCTGTTAGTAAGTAGTGTGGGGCTTTTTGTTATTTTACACCAATTTCCTCGTTTGTCGTAGACCTGTAAGCTTATCCTAGGCGTGACACTGCGTTCCACCGATGCTAACTATTCATTGATTCCCAAATAACTAGTTCGTTTTCTAGTATGGCGCCCATTTTATTTTCCTTTGTCTCGTTCCTTCTGCTCCTCGATCTATCAAGCAAACACCTTTTGTCGATGAGCTCTTCACTTTACGTGCTTGTCAAGTCTGATTTTTGCCGAGATTCCACACAATGGCCACGTTGCACTGTGTTCATTTCCCTAAACGACGTTACTACGCAATTCAATGTGGTTCATCCGTTAGTTCTGTTTTGACAGTGATTATGCGACCGCCGCTAAATAGGCTGATGCACAGCGCTGCACGCTTCGGCGCAAATACTTATCCCATCGTCAAAGATCAAAATGGTGTTGCTGAACTGACTCGATGCGCCACCTTTCACCACGCTGTCGCGGAACAGTCGTTGGAACTAGTTAACCCGTTCACGTGCATCGGTGATTGTGTCACTTCTTGTGATCACGTCAACTAGGTTACTTTACCAAGAGCATAGCCCATCTGACTCCATCATCTACGAAGACAGCGAAATAACAACCTGTCAGTTTACGGTAGAGTGCGTAACGCTTCGATAAGGCCGGTGTTACCGTTTAGATTATACGTTGAGAGACTACCAGTCTTTGATCTGCAGTGTGTGTGTGTGTGTGTGTGTGTGTGTGTGTGTGTGTGTGTGTGTGTGTGTGTGTGTGTGGAGTATCGATCACATCTGGTGGGAACACCGGATGAGCACGGTTGAGATACACCAGTTGATTTTTCGGCACGAAACCCTCTGATGTCTCCCACATGTGTTTACTAAGGCTTAATTGCTTACATTGGCTATGTAGTTTTGCGTATGCTTGTTGGCTGCCTTCTTCGGCATGCATTATATACTGTCGCTGCATCCACTTGGGCGAAACCGCGAGATAAGTGGTTAATGACTTGGTCTAAAGACTTGAAGAAATCTACCGGGAGGCCTGTTCAAGCCGGCGTGTGTCGTTTTTGTGGATAGGTGCTTCAGGGTTCGATATATCGGTGTTGGAGACCCTTTCGCACTTGGTTTAGTCACGGAGTAAGTTGCACTCTTGAATTCACTTTCTTTACTCATGTCGCTGCAATTCTTAATACCCCATTCTTTAATAATAATAATAATGATTATTATTATTATTATCGAAAACCTCGAGACACACCACTGCGGGCATGATCATGTTCTGTTTGCGCTCAACGTTTCTTACCTTACTTAGTTATCGTTATTCTGGCGACGTAAGTCGTGGCAACTGCGTCTACCGCACTTCGGTGCTCGAATCACTGTTGTGGAACGGAACTACATTTTACCTAGAATATGGGTTGCCATATTTGTAGCTGTCTTTTACAATCTACTTTTGGAGGAAGATATCTGTCTTATAAGAAGATAGAACAAGGTTGACTTTGGTCGTTATTGGCAATACTCCTCGCCGTCCATTCCTAGACAGGCGTTTTGTTTAGCGGTTCCAACCTTAGTATTCTATTCAAGGTAGTGGAGATCATGGTCAATTTAGGGGTGGTTCTACGACTATCCGGACAGCCCACTGGCGACATTTTACAAGCAGATTTCGGTATTTTTTAGTGGCGTATTCACTTATCGACTACATTAGATGGTTCATCTGCGATTACAGTTACCGGCCTGTGAACTCTAGCGGGTCCTCAGTACATTCGCTCTAGGCTTCTTGGTTTTCGGCACCTGGTGACAGGCCATCTGAGCTTAACTTGAGGATGACAGATTGCTCTGTTCCATGGCACAGCTTCACGCCACACACGGCGTGATCGCCTAGATAGATCTCGCATTACTCTGACTCTTAGCAGTTGAGATGCATGTTTTCCTGTTCAATCGATCACTGAGATACGCAAACTTTACCTCACGTTAGAATGTAATCTCCACGCGATGGTTGGCCTAAAATTCAGCATGTGAAACGGCTGTATGGCACGACTGATTAGTATGCCAATCCGTTCACTGTTCACAGCGATTGCTCTCGCGGTCTCCCTTGATATCATAGCAAGCCAGGAACCGAGTTTTATTCCACTTTTCTGCTATAGTTACCGATGGGCAGGATGCGTTCCCGATTGGGGTCCGATTATTTCTATATACAAGCAGTAATGTCACTCTTACATGCTCTCGGTTTGATTTCAGTAAGATGTCGATCCTGTTATCCTCAGACGGATGTGTGTGTGTGTGTGCCTCTTTTAGGTCCGCGTACATTTTGACTCCTTCGGTTCCTCATTGGTTTTTGAAAACGAGATCCAGGAGTGTACGCCACGATTTTCACTGATAACTTAATTTACAAGAGGGTAGGAAAGAAAGACGATATACTACTCAAGGTTCATCTGGCCGCGTATAGATATAGCTTCAACCTTTGGGAGACGACTCTGGGGAATGTTCGTCCGTAAGCTGATGTTATTAATGGTGTTAAGCGGTGTTCAACAAACCGACCAAGACAAGACACACAGTCATCTAATCTAGATCTCGGATGTGCTGTTGAAGCTGTATTCTGGAGGCTTAAAAACTGATCCATCGGAAAAATCCCGGCAAGTATTCGCTTAAGGTATATCCAAAGGTCTTATTCCAATTGTTTTGGCATGTGGGATCCGATAGCAGCTGAAAATGGAAGAAAAAGTGCGAGCTACACAGGAACTCTGGTATTTTCTTGTAACTGAAGTAAATTCACAACAACCGATTCCCAGTTAGATGGTCCCGCACATATCCGTTCCCTTACACCAGGATCCTTCAACGGCGAAGATTATCCTGAGTCTTACAAAGCAGCTTACCCCCCATCTCCTTTGCTGGTGACTTGTAACGGAAGCCGTAGATCTGGGGACTAACGCTGATCTCTTCACGTTCGCATTTTGCGTGGCAGTGGATTATGCACTTCGCTACATCGCAACTAGCACTCTGTACCGGCTCTCTGTCGTCGTCACTTGCTGTCTAGCTGCATAAGTCTCTAAGCGCACCGTGAGTATTCGACTTCCCGAGAGGTCGGGGGAACTGCGCACTGCCAACGAATGGCGGTAGGACGACATGGTCCTTTTCCGGATGTACGGGGAGCTGCCTGGTTTGGAGATGGCTTCCATATATCTCCTTTAAACATACTGAACTCGTGTTTGGTCACGGCTGCAGAGGTTAAACTGGGACATCTCCTTCAGGCAGCTACGCCAACCGAAGAGATGCAATTGACAGCAAATTAGCCAGCTTCAGAGGTGTAGATAAGGAGGAGCATACACGGGGATAAAGGGACGCATGTGGTACTAGGCTCTTGAATGTGAGGTTAATGGAGTAAAGTAAGTAAAGGAAGAAGAAGAAACACAACATGCTTCTCAAATCCCAACATCACTTCAGATTATCCTACCATAGATGGGGTAGTCAGGGTGTGACATACATATATCAGGATGAATATACTTATTATCCTCGAAAATCGGGGACTTGGTTTATGAATCCACACATCGGTTGACCAATTGGAACGCGAAATAAAGGGAAGTATACATGGAAATGTATTGAAAATTTGGGCGGTAATGGAATCAATATGCTGTTAGTTTTTCCTCACTCGAACTTGCTGAGCTATGTCCAACTTCCCCAGCGGCATCTATATATCTGAGAAATTCGATGTTGATTTGAGACCGTGCTTTTAACACTCACTCCCAAAGGGACAAATGCTTTTCGCGAGTAACTACTGATTGCTCTCAGGTGTTTAACCATGCTGATTTTCGACTTCCGGGAAAGCAAATCGGTAATGATTCGATTTTTCTGAGATTTCATCAGAAACGAAAGTAACTCGTCATCAGAGTCCGATATGTGTTCGTCATTGCCTCTAACGTATGATTTTCTGTCTCACTTGGCCTGTTTAGAACGGAGATTTGCTCACCTCTGGTGGGGACACCGAGTGAGAAATGCTGTGGTCATCCATTTGGTTGTTAGAGTGAAGCCTTCTGGTTCATCACTCGAGCGTTTACTGACTCTTAATCGCTTACGTTGGATAGGCTAAATCCTCCGTGTGCCCTTTGACCTGAGTTCCCTGCGTGCATTATACGCCGTGGCTGTATCAAGTTTAGCGAAACTGCGAGGTGACCGGTCTATGACGGGGTAGAGGAGTATGAGGAAATTGACTGAGGGACTTGGTCAGGCTCCAGTGTGTCATCTTCGTGCATGGGGGCCTCGGGATGGTTCACATCAATGGCTGGAGATCGTATCAGACATGGCGCAGTCACGCAAACAGTGGGGTTCCTACATTCGGTTTCTTGCATCTGGTTGTTAATTTATCCTCCATTCTGGCTAGTTTAACACACTTCCTTCTTGCTTCTATTTTTTACATTCTGTTTGCCCTTAACCCCACTACCTTGCCATTGTCATTAATTGTTATCCTTGCGATGTGGGTCGTGGCAATTGGATCCACCGCACTTCGGTGCGCGGATCATAGTTGGTCAACTGAACTGAACTGATCCGTTTGGAATCTAACCCGATTGGTGCGTTCTTGCTGCTACACTATGCTTCCCTACTTAGGTGCTTTCGAACCTCGTAGCAAAATACTAGCGGTTGCTGAATTTTTTTATCCTGTTTTTAGCAATGATCTTGACTTTTTCATCCATAAATTAGTAAGCATCTTTGCGTTGAAAAGGAATACATGCTTGATGCAATGAATCACACTTTGTTTCTTGTAGTTTTCAATGTGTCCGCTAATTATGCTTTGTCTCACACCTCTTTTTAGCATTCGTTGGCCTTCTGGGTTCCCGCCTACTCACTCACTATCATGGGAGGAGTTTCGCGCTTGTGAGTTTTTTTTGTGCGCTTAATATCATTATGGTTGCCAATAATCTCCCTCATGTAACCCAATTTTCCATAATTCTTATCCTTACACTGTAATGAAGTCACTTTGATTGGGTACTCACGTACATTTTAGACCATGTCAGTTTTTCCTATGCATTTTGCTAATATAAGACGGCTAACCCGGCTCAGTTTGTTCGTTAGAGAACGCTTTTTCGGCCGCCAAACGACTATTCCAGATAATTTGTTGGCTTTTTTTGTGGGGGCGCCCCACTGACAAGGCTTCCGTTCGTCCGGTTTAGGCGCTTCGGTTACGAACGATACGCAGCAGATTGCCAATCGTTGCCGGGGCCGACATTGTCCGCGCAATAGTTCTATGCTCACTCAGAGTGTTCCATAGCGGAACCGATTACGGTTCGTTTGGTATGCAAGTTTCACAAATTATGTCCACGCCCCTTGATGTCAAGTTGACTCTGAAGCACCTATGTCTCACATTCGCAATCCTCTCGGTTTTATATCCTTGAACTTTCTTTCATTACTTGACATGCGTGTATTTGTTGTGGCGAAGGCCATCCGCACTTTGTAGTCGCAGACACAGGCGTCCCGCGGCTGTTTATACCCACTGGAACCACCGAACCTGGGAGCAGACGTCATCAGTAACTTATGTATCTGTTGTCGCCACACGAACCACCGAGATATATGTAAAATTTTCCGCCAGTTTATCTGCGCATCGTCTCCCCTCGTTTCCAAAGGCATACCAAGCTTTACGGGCGCCCGTGTATCGCTCCCGCAATCGGATGGGGCGCCAGACAGCACGGATCACGTGGTGACCTCGGCTTGCATTAATTGGATGCGGACTATCACCACGCTCAAACGATTACAATTCGAGTTGCATCATACTACTGATGAGCCAAGCGATCACCCGGCTGCACACGTGTTCGAAGATTTGCCGCTTCCAGAAGACGAAGCTCAGGTAAGTCCTCGTGGCCGCAACTGTGTTGGTGAGAATCGCATCAGCACACTTGTTTCTTCCTTTATTTTCCTTTTCTGGAGCTGAAGATAGATTGTTGGGGCACGAGCCTACCAAGTCAAACTTGTTTTTGTCGGAAAGTCACTTGTGATTTTCTCCTGATTACTGGGACGATGACAGTGAACGCGCCAATTCAAACTACTAGACATAAATGCGTTTCAAAATAGTATAGTCAAAGGCCGCAGACTGGGCTGACACCGTCATTTCATGCACACGTATCAATCGCGTACGTGCAGTGTGACAGCACGGGAAGGACACGATCAAGCGTCGTCGATTGGTGACCAACTGGTGGCCTATTGGTGCTTCACGCTACCACCGTGAACCCACTACCTCTATCAGCTGCTCTTATATGCATAATGTCAGGCGCTAATGATCGATAACAATGGCATCAAGGAGTTTGGTAATGTGGGACTCCTGATTGATTATCTAAATGGTCCTGGTAACGATTGTTCAGTATGTGTCCCCTGATTGCTTCGGTGACCCTTTTTCGGGATTCCTCTGTTTTAACAATCAAAGAGTCCATTCGTTTGCTTAACCACCTTGTAACGTATTTGTCTATTCAAACACCCTAAGTTCGGACAGTGCGCCCGATGTAGCCATCTTCATAGCTACATGTGAACTTGTATAAATAACCGGACATCCATTGACTCAACTTTGAAGTCTTCGGTACCCACTTGGACGGCTTATTTTGAACAGTTATCACTCGATCTCGTCTCGCCGAGTTATAGAAACGGTTTATGAACTCCAGCGAACAACCATTGAGCTGCAGCGTTTAGATCAGCATTATTCCTCAGTTTACAATGTGTATGGAGTGCAATTCCTCTGGGCACGATGAGACAAAGCTCGAACTCGAAGGGACTTTTTTTCTCATTAACGAATAGCTCTTGAAATGCAGATACTTACCCGTCCAGATCGCTTTCCAGTAGACTGATCTTTTGATAGTTCCATCCGGTCGTCGTGTGACTTATATGGTTGATTTGGGGGGGGGGTGCTAAGAATGCACAAACTGACGACGTGGTCTCGCAATCTGCGCCCTTTGATCTTCTTAGTTGTAATTATAAAGGAATTTATCGTTTAAACTACATGAATACGGCAACCTTTTCAGCTTTATCTTGCTTTGGTAGGACTTTTTGTTTTATATGCAGACTATGCCGTATTATGCTTATCCATATCCTGGATCGCAACCGTAATGCCTATGGTGTCAACTCTACCGAATAAACAACTCTTCAGTGTCATTTGCATCCACATTTACCTGCACCAGATATATTCGGTGTACTTTTTACTCAGTTTCATAGGTTGGGTAAACGGGCTACTGGCTAGACCTGTTTGACGTTCGACCATCTTGCTAGCACAGGTATGTCTGCCTGATGTATGGTATCACAAGCCTCGAAGTGGGCAAAAGTTGGCTTGGCAGCTGGAAATGAAATTACGGACTGCCAAACTCGGCGCTGTTGGTCCGCCTCACCTTCCAGGCTGGAGTCTTCGTAACCCGCCTTATGTTTGGCTTAAGACGTTACAGGACATGGCTCGCAGTCGACACCAATGGCGTGTCTTGTTTTCTCGTAGTCCGACTGTCTGTTTAAAATGTGTTTGGCGTTGAGTTGTCTATGGAGTAGCGGTTGATTATGACTCGAGGCAGTGAAATCTGCAAGCGATCTGCCCCACCAATGCCGCCCTGTGTTTTCACAGTAGACAGCTATTTGTGACCATGTGTTGTTGGTAAAGCGTGTAGGCGCCTGTGCCCTGAATGTTAGCTTACGGCATTACGGTTTTACCGTAGGTTCCGCTTCTCTCCTTATTATTCTTCGTCCTGTAGGTTTTTGTGGTTGCGCGACAGCTAAGCATCGGTTCGATGGATAATTATGATTAACGTGTGGGATCGATTTGCGCATCTCCAAAGTCAGAGTAGCTTTTTTCAACCTCCGGCATCCCTAGCCCCGCCGTGGTCGTGTTTACAACAGTACGGTTCGAACAGCGCCCCTGTTTGGCTACGAGACCTGGCACATTCAAGAGAGCAACGTCCAGAGGCTGTATGTTTCTGATCACCGCTGCCTCCAGAGCATCGTGTCATTAATGACCACGTTTGACGTCGTATCCTCAAGTCAGACAGACTCAACCAACCACCCAGCTGCATAACTTCTTTGCGTGCGCTCCGGCGGCTCGGGCACGTCCTCCGCATGCCTAATCGACATTTGCCCCCGCCGTGCTCTGTTTCCACGCGCCGGCTTGGACTGGAATAGAAAAAACGTGGCCAACACACAATCTGAGTCCGGGGTGTCAGTGCGCTATGTCGCAGTTGGCCACAGTGGATCGTTACGTACTCCCGCGTTGGGGGCCAAGGGCGGGAAACGCTATCCAATATGGCCCGAAATCGTACCCAATGGCGAACGTTTTGTGAGACTCTCTTCCCCTTCTTTTGCTTTTACCTGTGTGTTGTAGCGCTCCGCCATATATATATATATATATATATATATATATATATATATATATGCTTGTATAAGTCCGCGTGCTTCCGCAGACAACCGTCTATGGTCCGACGAGGTCCCTCCTTTGATTCAGCTTAACAGATGATACCAAACCGACCGTGAGCGCAGTCATCGAAATCGCTTAGAATGCTCACTACGCATGCTGCGTCCACTGGTCGAATCCGTCAGGCTCACATTCTCTTAACGCTTAGGCTCTGTCCACTCTTACTGGACACTTCAATCACCTTCGCTCTTATAGTGTGTCATACAACTTTACGTTACTGAGTACTCCGTACACTGGACCGCTGCGCGCTGTATGTGCCACTGTATACCTTCACCACACTCTGTAAGGTATCTCGCTCTAGATTCGTCTTGTTGCATTCTGTTTCGTCTGACTATCATTCCTCTAGTGTTGACCTACGAAAATGCACGGTGTTCGCAGTCGCCTCACATTTTGTTTGCACTCATACTTCCTCCCCAGTATTAGTTCATCTATTGTCCGCTTACCTCGACCGTAGTAGCACGGTTTCTTAGTGTTCATTCATCTTCCTAAATATTCGTAGTCTCTCCCGTTGTGGTAAAATGCGACGCACAAGTACAGCCGATGCGCTCTTCAGCGTTCCCGTCCTCCGGCTTAATGTGGGCTGTACTGTGCTTAGCTACATATCGAATGAAGGAGTGTTGCGATGTTTGGAAGCTTGGGATGCAGATGCTGTGATTCTAGCTTTTGATAACTGGTGGGTTGCTCGCTTTACTGCCGACTCGATGTTTCCATTTGACTGACTGTTACATGAATTTGTTTGTCAGTGCATAAACTGCCACCTAATTACGATGACCTGAGCTGGAGCGCTGGTAAACTAAGGGCCATTATCGGAGAACAGAAGCTTCGTTATCCCGTGCCTGGGCGAACTGACAACTGAGTTTGTATCTTACTCCCTTCGTGCTCATGGTGGTCACTGCATCAATTACGAAATAATCACTCTATTAATCTACAATGAATAAGCGATGTTGCTCACCACCTGCTATGGTTGGTCAGGAGCATCATACAGCATCATTAGTTCCTGAGCATGGCTGATTTCTTGTGGACAAAACGACATACAGTTTGACACAGGATTTCTGATGTCACCTATCGTTCCATGCTACAACATAAATCACCTAACTCCGCTAATGCTACAATAAACACTCGGCTGAGCGCGTTCCGAGATTTCTCTTCGGAGTGATGATGAGATTTGAAAATGATTGTGCTTGAATATTAAACCATCATGGACAATGTGTCCATCCTAAAAATCTTGGTAAACTGTTTATTGCTTCAGAAGCTGCCTCTTTGTTTCTTGCCACTTTTTAAAACCAGATTTCACAAAGTGGAGCACGTTGCGTCCCTCTTCATGTGTGGCGCCTTTTTATTTTTGGCTGCTGTCTTCCGTTTCTGTCAGCTGTTGTACCTCAGTCTAATAGGTTCGGTCTTTTCTTGATGATGTTCGTCAATCTGCAGCTGAGTTCTTGTCAGTGTGTCTGCGATAAACATCTGTGCTCCCAATGTCGTACTTTTGAAACTGGACAGTCGTCTTTCTTTCGCGATTGCAGTCGTCGCAAGGCTCCGCAGTGTAGACTGTTTGTACCGCTGCTCCACCACTGTGAGCACTCGACTGCGAAAATCCGAAAGTTTTCCATCCTACACGAGAACAGCGTCTCTATTCCACTGTAGATACTATCACACTGCATCTCCAGAGACTACGCTGGATCGTAATATGCAAGTATAGACGCTTTGCTGACAACATACTTATGGTCGTAATTGCTACCTCCCGTTCTTTTCGCCAACTTCACTTTAATTCTTTATGAGCGAAGCTCCGGATAAACGTCATGCTTTAATGAGCGTTGGCATAAAACAGTTTAAATAATTCACCATGCCGGTGCAGTTTTTGATTCGCTTTTCGTCTTTAGGTGGCGTCATCTATTGTGTTGTCCTGATTTTCCCAGATCGACTCTGGTTTCTTCGAATATTAACACACATTCCCGTGGAAAATTACCTTCTCTTTCTGGAGCTTAACTGTTTCTTCATTTCTTTGGCATATAACACTGCAAGAAACGGTGAGGGATTGGCACCGTGTTCTTCCTTCGATTAACCGTCTGTCACTCGCGTCACACTAGTCAACATAATCCTTATGGCACCGTAATGGCTTCAGCATTACGCCGTCTGAGTATACCGCGAGGTCACCCACATCCACACAGATTCGAATTGGTGACCTCCGAATTACAAGGCCAGCGCGTGATTCGTTTGGCCATCGGTCCAAAACCCAATCTTTAACTCATTCAGGTTGTATTTCAGTACAGGTACTCGCACACATGCGCGTACACTCTGTTAATTGGCCATCCTCCCTTATCAAATGAGATATCTGGTGCGCACACATGCATTCAGCACAACAGTTCCAGAGAGATTCTTGAGCCAATCACCTATGCAGATGAGTTCGTTTCTCTACGGTACATATACACCGACTTCCATGGATACTGAGACTGCGGGGAGACACACTTAATCCGCTGCACTGTTACCGTCTCTGTACTGGACTGGTTGCCACACATTCACATGGATGGAAGGTAGTTGATGTTGTGTAAAATCCTCCAACACTTGTCCTTACTTGTACAAGCTACTGTCTGCGGTTGACACACACGTTGAGTGTGGGCTAGTGAGCACATTTCGATCGGCACCTTGATGCATGCACTCGGCCGGTTCGCCTTGGCTGGGTCACCTACGGACTGGTGTACACCAACGACAACCGATAGAGGTGATAGCCCCACTCTGTTGTTTGCAGCCGTGTTTGCCGGCGCTTTGGCAGTTTCAGGCACTGAACCTGAGGATAGCGCGATTTATACAAAGGTTATGATAACCGCGTTATCTCGTATTTATGAGCGCTACACCATATATGAAGACAGTCCTCATTGGCTGGTGTGTTGAGAGTTCCGGTTGAATTGGTGATATCTACTCTCATAAGCTATGCGATACTCGTTTCAGTGGTAGATAGATAATCCTACTCGTTAGGGATCGGAACCTGAAGGCATGTGACCGGAGTCAATTTATACTGGATCATGAGATATTACAGTAGATGGGGAGAAATGGACATCGATACACCACGCAACGAAAAAACAGTTTGGAAGGTGGATTTACAGAGAATGGGGTAAAAAGCCTAGGATGAACAAGAGCCCCACATGGATGGGTATGTCAATTATTCAAGACCACTTGTAATTGTACAGGCCCGGAGACGTATTATCAAAAACATGTTCGCTTACAGTGATTACTGTCTCCCAATGGAATCTTCTCTGCTTTATATTTAGTCTATTCCTTAACACTTCCCCTTTTATTCTGATTGCAATTACTTTGTCGGAGTTGCTAATCGGAACACTTTAGCGCATCGGGAATGGTCGGAATGGTTCGAAATCCCTTACTTTGGTCTGCATACGATTACGTGAAGAACATTACTGACACGATGATCGGGCCGGGTTTCACCACCATAGACACCGTGTTCACTGCTATCTTCCTCACTTTTCGGTTGTACTGTTTACGTCAGATCCCTACACGCGTGTTAGAAACGACATCCTTTGTGTTACACGTACGCCCATCGGAATATTACACGATGTGACACCAATTTTGTTAATTGCTCAAGGCTTCTTCGAACGCTTCTGACACAGATGTAAATAATGAAGGTCTGCCGCTTTCCCCCATGACTCACTGACTGGCTGGCGGTATGGCGATTGTATACTTTTTAATCCGTGCGCCATACAACCTTGCCTCTTTGCCGCATCTTGCATTAGCCGATTTGGCTATGTGGTAATCTCGGCAGCTAACCATCGCACTCATCCGCTTCCGAGCAAACCACTACAATATGATCGATGTATCGAAGGTCTCGCGACTGATGATTGGTATACTTGCGTAGACATCGATCTATCCATCTAATTTGATGCAATGTCATCCTCTTCCGATAGCAGCTTGATCTGTCCGACACCAGAATGGGTTATCTTTACAACTGTTGTGGACAAGAAATGCTCTCAAGGAAGATAGCCCTTAGTAATCGTCCAGTTCCATTTTATTGCCGCGCCCCACTGCAACTTTGGGCCAGAAGCACTTAAAACTATTTATTCGGTCGCGAACGAATGAGATTGGGTGGCGATTTACATCAACAACTTAATTAACCCTCAGACCCAACCAGTGAGGGAGAGTGACAGGCTGAAACAATTTCTACTCGCACGCTCACAGGCGTGTTACTGCAAAGTGGCACTGTATGTGGTTGGCCCTTATTGTGAGGCCTATTAGCAGGATTCTCATCCCCTGGAGTTGGTCAGGCCTGAATCCATATCGTGTCGCCAGTATTGTCAACAAAACACTGCGAATGTGGCCCTCTTTATCAATCCACCCTAGTTCGTAATTAAGTCGGAAAAATAGAAATAAGCAAGTAAGGGTTTTCTCACTTGGATTTATAAGAATTTTATTGTTTCGAAATGAGAAAACTCTTTCTCGCCTACTTTACAAAACTACTGCGTTCGCAACCGACGTTTACTCGGTCCATCTGACGTTTCTTTGCCACACTCTCCCATAACTCTTTCCTTTGTTACCCCGACTTCATTTTCGCAGTTAGCGTTTGCCAGATTTCAAGCACTCGACGCCCATGGACACACGAAACAGTCACTTGTGTGGGCCCGTTACTTGGCACTCCGCCTTTTGTATTTGAGCGTCGACTTCGTGGCTGATTCAGAGGCTGCGGCGTTTCGTGTCATTGGCTCACATCGTCTTGCGGGGTCAAATGGTGCGTTAACGACCAAATCACTCGAATCGGCCATCGATATACGTCCACAAGAAACCGGAAATACTAAGCGACCAAAGAAACACACTACCGCCGCGGTCACTGCCGGTATCTCCGCTGTTGGGGACACACCTGTGTTGCAGACCTGTGCTGAGTCGAAATCGATGGCCTTTTCAGACGTGCTTCCAGATGAACCGACTGATGAGGCTGTTGAGTGGACTACAAAGGTTTGTTTTACCCAGTTTCATATTCCCATGCTCAGCACTTTACATCCATTATGTTATGTATGTTGAGTTAGCCGTTTTACACATTCCTCTTCGGAATATGATCGTCAGGCGTCCACTTTTTAGTGCTTGCTCATCTTACTCATCTTACTCATCTTTCCTGCTTCTCGATAGTGCCTGCTAATCTCCTCCATCGATCTACAAGCACGAAGTCCTTTGGTACAATTCTCAATGCCATTGGTCATTAAACAGTGCTTAAGGCGACCACTTTCTTCCCCGCTTGATTTGGGAAGCGAGTCTGAGAACTTGCGCTTACCGACTAGTGCGCTTGTTACCAGTATCTCGAAGCAGCACCTTCTTCAACCGTATTCTTTTGCACTACCCGCTTCCGATACCTAATTTCAATCCAGATCACGACCTAACTCGAAGCAACTGCGGTCGCGGTGCAATCAGCCTCGAGAATGTGCCTGGTGATGAAAACGACCCATCCGTATTTCAGACTAAAAGCGGTTTCAGCATTGAGTGGTGCAATCCAACTAGTGGAACTTTACTGTTCTTTTTTCTTTGGCGCTCCTCTCAGCGAGTGCATGATTAGTCACGTTGCTCAACCAAACCACGTTTGTGAACATCAGATTCGTGCGGTGCAATCATGGAGGATCATTCTGTTTCGGAGCTCGCATAGCTCCGCGATGCCTGCGCAGCGTTCGTCTGAACTCACCTCAGCCATACACATTATGTGGTCACTCAGACTGTGCATGCAACAGCCGTGCTGTCCTCATTGAAGTCGCTGTTGTGTCAGCTCGAACTGCGCAAACCCTGCGTTATATTCGTCCAATAATGCTGCTGTATCCCAACTCCCAAACCGCAGTGAGCCAACTGAGCTCTCCTCAGGACACCGCTTCATCTAGCGTCCCAATCCGCAGTGACCACTACATGACAACTGGGGGCCTTGCCAACTTCCACCTTGCTGTATAGTTTACGTGTTGCGCTGCCGTACTTTTGAGCTATAACTACAAATGTGTAGAAGGCATGTTTCGCCTTTGGTTGAGTTAATAGACGAACTCTTGTCATCGGCCAGTTTTTCTTTTCTGTGTACGAGGTTACGCGTTTCGTCCTCAGCTCGTGTGTACGACGTCTGGCGACTAGATCACTTAACCGTACCGTTCAGAATTCAATTGGCTGCTCTGTGCCCCGGATGTGAGCCGACCACAAGTTGGTTTGACCGAGCTGTATGTTTTCGGGCGTATTCACTTTGTTCATGGGGTAGTATCGTGCATTCGGACTCGGAGTCATAGCAACCAGAACTTGTTGAAACTCATCACGGTCCTCATCTCTAAGTTGCTTCCAGTCTTCCCCCATAAACTGGCCTCCGAGCGTCGAATTCGCGAAGAACAAGTCGGGTTTCGTCGAAATCGTGGGTATATTGACCACATCTTCACGTTGCACCAGCCATGGGATCAACGCTATACTTATTGGCAATCCACCCTAGTCTTGTTCCTCGACATCAAAGTGCCTTTTATCCGGCGATTTGATCAGCTGTTCTGGGCTGTTTAACTAGAAGAAATGGGCCCGAGAAACACATTAACAAAAATACACTCATAGTTAGATTCGAATGAGGTATTATGGCAAGCAGTCGCAGTTCGTCTATATCTCCAGTGGTGTTGGCGAATTCATGGGAATTACCTTCATTGGGCTTAGGGGTTGGGGACTTGTTAACGTATAGAATGGTGGTTCAACTACGCGATGGTCGTGATAGGTAAGCTAACCCTGTTTGCTTTGGCTTGAGCACACACGACAGCTTCGTGTATGCCCATATCTGGTTTATACCTATTGAGCCATTTGTTAAACACCTCTGTCGTGACTCTGTGGAGATAATTTTGCGGTATTTCATTGCTACCAATTACAGTTACTGTCTACAAGGATAGGTTATTTACTACATCCATGGTTTTTTACGTTTCATTGAGCCTGTGGCGCAACATATATTGGCCGAATGACGCGGCACTTGTCCGAGCGCGTGAATGAGCACTGCCCACCTTGGCTGCATCACGGTAATACTGAGGTTATTAGCGGCTCCGTCCTAGCCCATATTGTCGATACGAGACATCAGGTGGATCTAAAGCATGTCTTCAGAGTAGTGTACCTAGTTCCCCCGCACCGATCGAAAGATCATCGCCTACGTACACTTGTGACGGCCGAAGTAATTTCCATAAGATTGTTATGCTCACAGAATAAGCTAGTCCAGACTCCTCAGCTTCCCTGGCCAGCGAAAGTGGAAGACACTGAGATCGCACACAATTAACCCATTAAGGCGCAGTTCCTTTTTTATCTCCGACACTGACTCTCACCTGATCTATGTAACTTGAACTTACCGGATCGATTTTGTTAATAGCCCCTATATATAATTCTAATAGTCTGAGGACGAAGCATTATAAGTATTTGCTCACCAAATGGTCTTTTGTTCTCAAAATGTACTTGAGAATTTTCAAGTTACCTTCCAATCATTGACAATTTGTTAAGACTGCCATCTTCTGCCTTAGAGGTCTCTAAAAAAAGGCATAAACAGTGCGCAGGTACGCAGTACGGACGCTTCGTTGCCGCGCAACCACCACCTGTCGCACCTGGGGTAAAGATACTTCGAGGGTCGCCCGGTCCCTAGGCAAGTTCGAACCCGAGCCCTCGGGTTACTGGGCGGGCTTGTTCTCCTAAACGCCACGGGCCTTTTGCCTAATGACATTTGATGACCGTAAAGCCCACACGTTTGATTTTAGATGATTTTTCCTGACTGATGATTACCATTGTTTCTCATTTATTTCTATAAACAAGTGCAGAACACGCTCACTGCTCCCCTCCATGCACAGGACTTTCGCTCAAGAACAAGTTCAGTGATGCCAATCCACCAACCTGTTAGTTTGAACTGGTCTCCGGTACACGTTCTCCACAGCATGCCTTGATTTATCTTGGTTTACTTGCCTAATAAGCGACGTTTGCTACGTTTCTCAGTACCTTTCATAGCTTGACACATAATCTCAATTGTGTGTTGGGCCCCACACCGCATCAGCTGGTGTTACAAACGTGGGATGATGTTTGCCCACCGATTATTTGCTGATCTTAACTTTTCTAGTCTTCCATTCTCGCGCAGTCTCTCACTTTTGTCCAGCACACGTTACCTTCTGTCCTGCTTCGTCTTCTGAGAATCTGTGTGTCTGTGTTCTGCGAAACTAGGTCAGCCAACTACTCGACCAAATACGTTGCCTGATGGAGTGCCTCACTCGTGGTTACAACGATTCTGTGTGCAACCCGTCTAGCATTTCCGCGGCCAATCGGATTACCACCAGCGGTCGTACGTTGCTTTCTTTTCGTGGCCCAGATCCGAATTCGTTCAACGTGCACTTGGACGACATGGCCTCCCCGGTCGCGCGTCAAACCATTCGCCACAGCTTCGCACCGATTGGAGACGAATGGACTTGCATTGATGTCGAGCTGGCTTTCCGATTGGGATTCTACGGGCTAAGTCTGCCACGGCCTCCAACCACTAGTCCTATTCTGGAAGTGCGTGTGTTCGACCAAGAAGTGGCATTGGTCAGTCGCATGTGCCGTCTACCCATTCATGTGGCTTGTCCCCACGTACTCCAAAGCATTCGACAGGAGGCTTCTATTCTCGCGAGGAATTTGTCCACTTATCAAACAGGTGAATTCAGCCGGATGTGGCCGCTATTCAACCCTGATTGCTCTCCATGGTCTACATGCTTTGGTTCTATTTTTTCAAAATATTGTCATGCTCCTCACGATCAACTCTCCCTCTCTTATGCGTTCTACTGAATCTTGCCAATCCACAGTTGTTGGGCGTGTATCATAATTACTGATGTGTCAGTATAGAAGACCCTACTTTTGCGGGCAGTTTCCCATCACACACATGGGCTCTATTTGTTAAAGAGACACGCAACTGCATATGTTTGTCTAACTTTGAGAAGTTTGAGTTCTCTACGCTTCTCTTTGAACTTTGGTTCTTTCCATACCACACCGATCTCTGTGGTATCTTTGTGTTTGCTTATATATATATATATATATATATATATCGTAGTCTGTTAACAGGCGTTGTGTCATCAGAACCATGGCAGAAGAAAAAATGGAGAAGATAGAAACACGAAATGCGATTTTAAAAGTGGCAAACGATTTCTTTTTGTTTTAATCACTCTATTTTAGGTTTTTGTTTTTTTGTTTCGTGAGTTTTTTTCTGTGCGTTAAACGGCGGATAAAAAGGCATAATAACATTGACGCCATTGATGTCTGTTGTGGACCATGACATCCAATGTTTCCAACCACTGAGATTCAGCATCTCCTGGTCTCTAACTTGGAAGACGGACTGGTTCGACTGCCGTCAAACTTTTGGTTGCTTTCTTCATGCTTCTTCTCCACGTCATTGGCTGTCCACCGCGGCACTTTTTCCAATCGCTCCCTGGGAGTGCAACTAGCGCTCAACGTGGAAGGCGATGGGCTAGCATGCGCAAAACGTGCCCGAGCCAACGCCTGCGATGTCGAAAGATAACGTTCTGAAGACTGGCACTACTCGCTCCAAACACTCGGACCTTTGCGTTGTTTGCGTGATGTTGCCACCACACCCGAGCAATCCTTCGTGGACAGCGATTGTCGAAGTCTGACAATTGCTTCATGTCTTCCGAGCGAATAGGCCAAGTCTCAGCCGTACAAGAGTACTGCACGGACGGAAGCGTTGTACACCCTGCCCTTGAGCTTGAGACTGACATGACGACTACGACGTAGGTGTCTCAGTTTGATGAATACAAGGAGGGCTCTTGCAATCCGTTGTGAGACTTCATCTCCAACACCGCCACCAGCCGTGATGCCACTCTCTAAATAAGTGAAGCAAGGTATTTGCTGCAAAACATGTCCTGCAATGGTGAGCGCGGGTTCAGACACCTGCCAATCCTGGAGCAACGTTTTACATTTTCCCGGAGTGACTTATAAGCCGTACCTTATAGTTGGGAACCTTCTCCTCAATCCAAACTCTCGTGAACAGCGATAAAATTTCGCTAACCAGTACATTCCCGCCATCTTTGAATAGAGCCGGTGGTACGCTGTCGGGACCAGGAGCCTTGTGGCGTTTCAAAAATTTGATTGCATCTCGGATCTCTGTTTCAGTTGGGGGGGGGGGGCTGTGGAGACATGCCATGCATCATCCGTTAGGACTGGAGGTGCCACAGGGAGCTGTGTTGGGTGGTTGAATTGAAGAGCGAAGTGTTCTGCCCAGCGACCCAATTGCCTATGAAGGCTGATGATCTTCGTACCGTCTGGCTGATAGCGTGGGAATTACACCCGGTGGCCCTGATGATGCAAACAAGATGGCGAAAATTACCAATTGTTGCAACGGTTTCCATCTCATCAGCTTGTTTTGACCACCAGGATTCAGAATCAGAGCGAAGACTTGCTTTCAGCTGTTGCATTCGTCGTGCTCTACGCCAACAGGCATCGCCCGTCGACGATCCGGCAATTCTGAGGATCTTCCCAAGGTCGAGCTTTTGGGAGTGGAACGGGCGAGGCCGCAGCTGAACAACCCGGCCGACAACATGACTTGTTGCAGACTTGACCAATGTTGATCAACGTCCAGAATGGGAGAGAGCGATATTTTCACACAGCCTTTTTCACCGTTGGGTCCTCCAACTTGTGGGTGTTCTGTCAGGTGTGTTTAGACCTAAGTCAACCGCCGAAACACATGAAAACGGCCGCACATACCAGTGAATGATTGTCACCGACGCATCTTGGCCAAAATGATCGGCATTCGCGTACGCTGCCACGCCCCCTGCGACTTATGGCTGTGTGGTCAATCTGTGATCAGCGTTGGGTCGATGAATTGGGACGCCAAATAGCGTACTGGCATCCAGCATGACGAAAGCTGATGTTCAGCACACGGACTGAGCAGTCTCTATCCTTTGTCTTAGCAGTTATCATCATATCCATGCTGTCCCCTGAGGTGGCGCTCAGGTTGCAGCAGCCGACCGACACGCGCATTGAAGTCCTGCCCAAACAACGATATCTGTTTTACGAGCCCTTAAGAGCATCTCATGTTCTGGTAGAACTGGTCCTTTATTATGTTCGAGCTACAGTCAATGGGCGCGTAGGCAGAGATCACCAAGCGCGCACGCTTTTCGACTCAACGCCTAGCAACTTTACAAGAGCCATGGAGCCTCATCGCACAAAGGCGACTATTGATCGGAATCCAATCAATCAGACCAGCTTCGGTTTTAGCACTGAGGGCGATTCTAACATCAGCTTGCCCAGATGCGGCAGACTCGGCGTCACCAGAGAAGCGGAGATGGAAGCTGGTGCGTGGGTGGAGCGGTGACGCTAGCTGACAGACCGAGTTGGAGTCCTGGAGTCGCGTTTCATTAAGGCAGCAGATATCAATTCCAAGGGCCTCTAGCGTGTGTACAAGTCCAACTCGCTGACCGATCTGCAGTAATGTGCGTACGTTGAAGGCTGCAAGTTTGAACTGTGTTCCGGGTTGCAGGAGCGAAGATGGGAGACACTGGGACTGGCAGTTTTCTGTTGAGATGTGTGTGGTTAAGTTGGCAGATGTCACGGGAACAGGTTCATCGATGAAGGTGGGGTTGATCGCCATAGAGGAATCCGGTCAAAATGGGTGTGAATGGTACAAGGGAAGGGTAGGTAAAATGGTGGCGTGTGCTTGTGAAGTTGGCATAGTAACATAAGTGAGTGGCATCGTAGCAGCAAGAGAGCGTGTGAATGGTTGGAATTGTGAGTCCATGGTTCGTCAGTAGGCCGAGGTAGGTAGGTTGTCTTAGGGGACCACCGCCCCGAGTTGTTGGCCAAAGGGCCTAACCCACAAGGCAGCAGGGCGAGATGAGGGATTCGTACCTGTTAGGAGCCGGTGACTGGATACTCAGTTCATGCGCCTTTCGGATGACGATAAGCCATACCAAGGGCCCAACACTCCCGAAGTCAGTGCCAAGATCCGATGCTCGGATTGCTTGCCGGTGTACAGTGTCTCCAGAGGGACAGACCTTATTTAGTGGCGAGTCACATCCGCCACGTCGCAGTGTTGTTAAACGGACATTTGTGGCTTTTTATAGGGAGAACGCTTTCCAGGCGAAAACCCACCACTTCCTAGAACCCTGGCGCCTAACCATTCGCCGAAACAAGAAATTCTCGAACCGCTCGGCTGGCACCACGAGGAGGTTGTTCGGCAAGCCAGCCTTGTGTTTGCTTAACACCATACTTATTGTGCGGCAAAACAGAGGTGTTTCTTACCCCTAGCTAAGGCCTTGAGTGATGGTGATGATGAGACTACTTGTGGCGCACACCGCGTCGCAATGTACTGATTCGAACAGCGTATAAAAATTAAAACAGAGCAAAGGCAGAGATCTATGAGGATTTGTCACAGCTGCGCTCAGACTTATGGCGATTACAAGTCCATCAAACTCTTTGATCGTCGTTTCGCGACTTCAGAACTTGTCCGCGGCACTCGTTATGTCCTTTCGATGTGAGGATGGAACTCGCATCTCTGTTGTTATGATACCCGTAGGCTACCGGTCCCGAGAGGATGAAACAACCGTCCAGTGCTTATCGGGAACTTTTGTGACTACCTAACCTCATAGATTTGACAAGGATATCTCAAAGTTTTATTCTTCATGTGCTCCTCCGTACTAACCTTTTTCGCTGTTATTTGTTTTGTTCATGTATTTATGCTATGGATCGAATGGGTTCACCGCATTTCGGCGCGCTTGTCGCAGTGATTTTGAGACTACTGGAAAAAATTGTTCGTGTAGCAGTCTTCTAAGTCCGCCTCATACTGTCTCCACCACTGTAGTGTGTAGCTACAAATGCTCAAGAAATCAATGTTGGCTTCGATCTAACATCTTTTTGCCGCGCGCGACACGCCATTTAAATGGCGCATTGCTTCACGAATCTCTCGCGTGCAATTCCGCCTGTGAGCTAATGATCTCACTGTCTAGTGTGCTGGCGGTCGTTGTGCTAATAGCTATCGGGCCACGTGATATACGGTGGCCATCTGCTCTAGTTATCGCAGTTTCGCTTTTGGATTTGCAGCGCCCGAGGTCAGTTGGCCTTGAGCCAACCAATAAGTGTGCATGTCATCCGTGATCAGCCAATGGTGGTGTATGATCATCAAAACTAACCAGCGGGATCGAACAGCGTGTTCCAGAAAATCCTAGTAATGTCCACTTCCCGTAAAATCGCTTGCTTAGCAGTATGGACAGTATGGACATCACTGCACTGGAAGGCGCCAACCCCTTTTTCGCAATTGAAGCGTGCTTACAAGCTCTTCCTTTTCCGATCTGGGGAGTTGGCTGGACCGGAACCTACAGCATCTTATTGTTTCAACAGAATCATGACAATTTTTAAAATTTCTCTTTCAGCTCTATTTATTCAAATGAATACCCCTGTTTCTCTGATTATACACCATGACAAATGGTCTGGAAATAACTGCACCACCTCCAGCTGAAGTTGGTATCAGCACATTAAATTATGGCTATATTATTGTAGGTTGTTTTTCTAGGTATCCCACGCGTATGTTTCATTTACACCACGCTGATCAACCCATCCACATTTCCCACGCACAGATATTCTCGTTCCGTACAACTTGGCCAGCTACATCTTTCATGTGTTAGTCGGCACCCATCCCACTTTGGAAGTGCTGGTCAATCTCACCGATCCGATCAACCTTCTGCGGCGTTCGGACAATGCACCCACAGCAGAGAACGTGGGTGAAGTGCAAAACACCACCCTCTCCACGACACATCAGAGGTCCGCCACCTCGGACGATGCGAATCCCAACGAGCGCGGTCAAGTGAATTCGGACGTCGAGCTCTCCAACCGTTGCCCAGTTTTGGCGACTGGGGCAATTCTGGCAGGCTGCGGACTGCCGCTCGTTGTGAGTAGCCACTATTGTCGCAACAAATCCGAACTGAACACAGTAATGCGATCCAGTTACTTGCGAGCACTTGATTTGTCTACACTCGAGAATGCACTGTGGCTCGACGCCGATCTTGGCTTCAACACGGTGTTGTCTGTCATCGGGACTCGGTCCCGAGTACCGCAAGCCGAATTCCCGTACTTCATCGAGGGTCAGTGGGCTCAGCTAGACGCATTGATGGCCTATCTATTCCGACATTACCGTGATGATGTAGAGAAGTTGGACCACGTAAGCTTACATTTGTACTACTGGATTAATGAAGCAGCCGCACTCTGCACAAGCAGCGCTCCTTTTGGTTCAACGTGCTTTTTTCTGCCTTTCAGCTATTAACGCGTTTGCTTCATCGTTATTACAATCCGCATTTCAAAGTGCCACCACTGTGGGCTTGCCTGTCACTTTCGCCTGGGGAACTAATGCGTTTCAATCAGTTCCCGAATCTACCATCGCATCCACCAGAAGCAGAAGAGGCTGGGGATAATCTCGCTGCGACTACACAGTCTTTACCTGCGTCGTCTATTGCGGTATCTTCTGTGTTGCCACTGACGTCTGACCAGTCCTCTCTAACTCCGGCTCAAACCTGTTCCGCGATGGACACAAGCTCGGTCCCTCCGCGAGTGTCAGGTGCAACTGAACACAGCGATGCGCCTCATCCAGATGCAACACGAACCGCAACGGTGGACGCGGAATCAACTGCTCCCGGTAATGAATAGTTGCATACACTTTGTCTATGGAAACGCGTCTTTTTTCATTTTGTCATCACTTTTGTGATTGTTTTGGACTGGGCCTTTACTCATCAACTACGCAATCTTAACAAGAAACGTTGAACACGGTTATTTTTAGTGTCTTCTACATTGACAGTATTTGTCTCTGCCTTTTTGGCAAGCAGGTATTTTTCACAATGAAGCGGACTGTGCATTCACGGTATTCTATTGCAAGACACTGGACCTTGACGTGGTGCGATGACTTGCGTACCCCCGTTACCCATTGATGTACGCTAGTTGACACTTTCCAAGTGCCTTCAGAGTCAATTATACCAGGCAAGTCAGGGGTTAGGGATCAGACTAACTCCAACAATCCTTTTCGGAGTTTAGGGAGAAATCGATGTCCCTCTTCTTCCAAAACCTAGCCACAGGGGACAACAGGTCTACAGGTTATATGCTCATAGCTCGACTGGTGTAGACCACGAGCACCACCCATTGGCTCTGACAGTCGGGTGTTTAGTTGTAGGTATGTAACATACTACGGTCGAAAAACACGTAAATTTTTCTGAATCTTCCTAGGATCCGTGTGACAGATCCCAGTGGATCTCTGCAATCACGCTCCCGAGCTGGACTTGCTCCCCACTGCTTTGGGAGCCACAGACTCCGGGTGGAGTTCCCCAAGCCCTGTAGGTCAGACTGTTGAGTCGAAGGCAGGGCACCTCGAACAAAACGCATCTCTCGGAATGGGCAGCCGGAAAATATCATCTACCCTCTCAACCAAGTTGACAATATTCACTCCTCTAGTTTTTCTTTCTCCTCTCAACTCTCTTCTTTCTCGTCCATTGAGCGAAACATTGCCACTAACGTCGCACCTGCTACCATCGATACATGTAGCTCTCCCATCAAACCTTGGGTATCATTTCACACCGATTCTTTTAACTTCCGCACTCTGGGTCAGATTGGCCAACAGGCAACACTAACTCTCATTTGTCATTCTCTTGGTATTGTTGTGCACTACAGCTGAAACAAACATACACATTAAAAGTATTGTGACCCATCGTCGCCTTTCTGGTTCAGAATCTGCAAATAATATCTACCTTTTCCGTGCCGCTGTGCTACTGTGTCAATAGCTCAAGGTATTTACGGTGTTGATATTACACTCGACCTACATGTTGAAGGTAATCTATTCGACTGGATATCGTTCAACAGCCACATGTTTGCGGTTCGACTTCGGACCTCTGTTGCGGTTGGAAAGCACCGTATGAAGACAAAATGCCTTCCCACGAATTCCGTCTACGACCCCAATGAGCATGTTCAGAGGGTATTTAAGAATATTTCTATTGTGAACTTTCATCTCTTCATTGCATGCCGAAAAATATTGACATTGTGATTGTTTTTAGTGACTTGAACGACCAAGTGGGTCTTCTTGCTGACTCTGAGCAATACCTGGAGGGGCACTTTGGGGTGAATGCACGCCGAACAGATAGTGGTGCTTGATTTCTGCAATTATGTGCTGAACACAGCCTTTTACTTAGATGCACCGCTTTCCAGCACAAATGTTCGCACCGCGTCAGCTCATGCCCACCGAATTGCTTGAGGACCTGGACCCAAATTGACCATATTGCCATTAGCTATAGATGGCACACCTCAGTCCAAGACTGTCGGTCAATTTGGAGCACGTGCCTGGATTCCGATTACGCTATAGTGCGCGCACGTCTACGCTCACTCATTCAGCTTCAAAGAGGCGCTTAACTGATAAGCTTCGCACTTGTAAATTGAACTCGAAGTTCGCGAATATAAATATATATATACATATATATATATATATATATATATGTAATGATGAACTGGCCAACCAGTTGTCATTGATGAATGAGGTTAGTGAGCTGAACGTCGACTGAAATCATCTCCAATGCGCTAGGAGGAGCGCCTTTACCTCCTGCTGTACACCGAAGTTGAAAGTTCCGAATTGTAAACGGAAACAATTTCCAGTTAATACTATGTTTCAGCCTATCCGTATCAGTCTGGAGCTACAGTTGACAAAGTTTTCGAATTAACCGGGAACGTTAGTGGGTGGCGGAGGTCCATGAGTTGGAGAAAGCCAGTGTTATTGGGTACAATCGATGATTGTTTCGCTTCATCCGGAATACAGGCCCAAGGAAGCCCTAGCTTGCTAACGCAGTAGCGGAGACAGATGGACGGTTAATCGATTCTCAGCTACGTCGACTAATTCGTTGAGCGGAAAATTGCATAGACCAATTCCGCAGGCTTACTACGGCACTGTCGTTTTCCGATCCACTTATGCGCACGTGGAAATTAGGTCAAACGACCAAGTTAAGAGGAGATTCGACATGATCATGATGTGTTGAAACGAAACAAGGCCCCTGAACCTTTCAATATTTCCCCATCTGTGTTGAAAGATGGATGTAACTCTTTGTCAACTGAACTTCACGGCCGAGAGAATATCTGCAAACATTATCTCATCAACAGACTGTTATGTTTCACTAAAATCTTGCAGTAGTTGTGTGAAAATCCAATGTTATTTCGTAGAATACTCGTAAATTATTCTGATTTTTAGGCGGCAATTTCACATTCTACGGAGTAGTTTTTAGTGGGCCTAGAAATATCTAACAAATGGGAGTAGCGGATATGGATACAAAATATGTGCTTCTGTCTGTTCCAAAGTGGATTAGTACTCTCACCCGAGTCCTGAGAACAGTCATTTCAATTAGTATTGAGCAGGAGATTTTCTATCTAATTTTATTGGGGGTTCTTTGCATTGGACTGCGAATGAGATAGCCTCGGGACTCAGTAATACCCAATCGGAAGTCGTATCCTTAGAAGCCACCGATTTCCTCTGCAGTGGAGGATGAGATTTTAAACTACTACAGTCTACCACCGATCTCGAGAGAACATGAGATCAGGTCCTGGTGAGACCAATGGCTGCGCATTATCTGGCTTGAATGTTACCACGAAGGACTCCCAGTAAACTAACAACGTGTGCGAAACATGGGATTATGAGAAGTGCCGGAGTCTTCCAGTGGGCGATCCGCTCCCTGATTGGTGACGCATGCGCACCGTTCAAGGAGAGCGACGTCCCCCCGTTTAGACCTATTTTTTTAATTCTCGCATTCCCAAACTTACAAATTCCTATTAACGCGTCACTAGCTTCCGGTCTTGTAGACTTGCTAAACACACGAGACGTCCACGGTGAAGCCACATTTGAAGTTTTGGCTTCTGTCTCTTAGACATTCCGCAGACCGCTGCTCCATCCAAAATGATTTCCTGTACCTTCTATCTTTTTATTTGCTAATCACAACAGTTCTTGGTGCCCTTGCGTTGTCACTTATTTCTATCCCATGCTCTCCTGTGCTCTTTGTTTCCCAGCTGCGAAATCCGACCATGCTGTCGACTCCAATCGTACCGACTCTATTGAAACCTTTTCAAGCGATTTACGTACAACTTCGCAGCCTGTCGAATGCAGTTTAGTCCTCTACGATCCTACCTCTGCAAGCGAGGATACAGACACTTTGTCCGATTCAAAGGTTGGCCGTTACTTCACGTGCTCTTTCGCTTCTCCTTCGACGGATCACCTCTGCTGCATTAGTTACAAGGCCGTCTTATTTCACCTCTAGTCGTTAGCCCGTCACTCCGTGTTTGTACGAAATATCACCTTTGAGGGGTTTGCTGGTTAGCCAAGTTGTCAATCGCCCCCTACTGAAAGACAATTAGCTTGTGACTCTATAACGCTTGGAAAATTCATGACAGTTGGGATCATTCCCTTTCTATTTTTGTCTTGAGTTACCAAACTTGATAGATGTATCTGCTTTGCCTACCGATTCTCACAAAATTTCTTAACGATTCCGTGATTTTTCGTTAGAATACAGCTGTAGATGGGGGGGGGGGGTAAAGGCCGTTGGGAAGTGAGCCATTCACTTTATACCGATTGCTCCCCGTCTGTGGCATCTGGATCTAACAAGCATCACATATTAGTAACAATGCTCCCAGTTCGTTTCTGCAGTATCATCTATGGATCATCTTCAGGTATAATTTTATTTCTCATTCGAGACAACAACTGTTGTACACCACCACCACCGCATCCGTACTTCTTGCTAGACCGTCAATTCTCTTGTAGCGCATACCTCCCACTTTCCGTTCTAATTAATCTTGTGTGTGAAAATCACTGACCCGGTTCATCAACATATGAAATTATATGATCGGTCACTTACGTTCTAATCATTCTGAGTCGTTGTGGCGGTTACTCAGCATCAAATCGGACATGAGTTGCTGCTGCTAGGAACATCTTGTGTACCGCGTAGCCCTGCCCTTTTATGCTACGATTGTGGGTTGAAGTCACACAACTTATTAACCGCAGACGCCACTCCTCTGCAATAGTCTCTTTAGGGTCAGCACACTAGACGGTGTTAAGAGATCACTGGAAAACAGTGAGTTTCCTGGTTATTCGTCATACACTCGATTGTGTAAGCTGATTTCTACTAAAACTTACGCTGGTGTTTGTCCGTTGGTATATGCACCCTTCTTTCATGTCTACTGTTGTCTATTCGGTTTTCATCCACCTCAGATGCTATCCGAACGGCTTCGTTGTGCAACTCTTCGTGATCCCCGTAGACGCGGCCGCCACTCCGTTGGTATGGCCTCAGTGGACACAAGCGCACCGGAGACTACAAGCAGTGATAACTCTCCCGCAGCATCTCGCCGATTTCCTTTCTATGGATACCCTGCTGACTCCGTTTCAGTGGTGTCCGACACCGCCGAATATCATGCACAGTGTCTCCCTCGACGTTCGTCCTTTACCACTGCGGATGTGGCTTCGCCACAAACTAGTGCTGCTTCGACACCGAATCCTCGCGACGCACGCTCTGAACTTCCTGAGGGTAGCTCACTTGTGTGTGCAAGGAACGCTCGCAAACGGATCGGACACGCTGCCATCCATACAACTTCTCTCCTATCTTCAGAAGATGATGATTTAATTCCATGTCGTCCAGATCCCCCTCCACAAGAAGGCATCGCGATTCTGTCACCCGCAGTTTCCGAAAGCTGCTTGGATTCAGTTCACGCAGGTTCCCCAGTACGTTGACACTTTTGGCTTCGTTCATTGTTTCGCCCTTATCTGTACCATATCGATTTTACAAGCGCTACTTCACACGGCGTTAACATTTTCACTTCTTCCGACCGAATAAATGTTGAATCTCGGACTTTTCCACAATTGTTTGCAACGGTTGAGTTAGCCCGGCTCGCTACTTGTTGCGTCTTCAGTTTGCTCTCCCAAAGACATGCCTTTCCGTTGCATCTATATCGATCGGTGTTTCCTTTTGTTTTTCTCTACTGAGTGTCCACATTCTTGTTCATTTGTGCGTCGAAATAACGAATGTGTACAGACGTTTTCATCCAGCACTAGTGGGATAAAAAGTCCTTTTTCTATGCACTGAGGTGTTGAGTACTACGCATGGCTTACCTATCCCTAATGACCAGTTTGTGAGTCTCTACGCCTAACCCCGTACTCGCATCAGAACCTTTGTTTACCATCTTTTTGGTTTACGTTATCCAGAGTGATGCTAAATAACACTGTCGATGGTCCGTATATGTTTTTAACCCATCAAGTCGTCAGCCGTTTGACTTCTTTCGTCTCTAGCTACTGCTTCCGTCTGGCAGATTTTGCGTCCTTGTCTTTTTCTGGCCTTCAGCTCCTATCGGTTAACAGACACGACACTTATCGACGGCGCTCGTATTTTTCCATGTTTATTCTTCCTCAAAGTATCACCTGTCACACTCTCTTCAGACCGCCAACGCTGTCGTGACTCCTGTGCTGGCCGAATCTCAAGCGCACCCGTTGGCTTCAAACACACAGACAACTTCACAGGAGGCATCTTCTGTCCTATGGCCTTATGGTTTAAAGCGTCCTCCTCCGCAGCAGCTGTCGGATCCAATGGCTTTTCACATGTTCCAGCTGGCAAAATCCGTCCGCAAACTTGCCGGTGGACCGACAGCGAGTGGCTCGGTGTTTGTTCCCGAGCCGGAGGCACATGGGGGTATTGTTCACCCCAATCTTCAATTGGTAGCTTTCCAGGTTTGTTCGCTCTTCTAACCGCATTGTGCAATTCTGCATCGTTTGAATCTTCCCTACTGTTCACTATGAATGTGTGAACGCAGCATCGCGTAGCCAAGAAATGTTAAATGACGATTTCGTTAACGTTGTGTTATTTGCGATATTAACTATAACATCGTGCATCTGACTCTTTCTTGTCGAATTTCCGGGCAGCCATGTTATGTAAAACCGGTTCTTTAATTCATAGTGTGCGCTATATATATATATATATATATATATATATAGTACAAGATACTGTCCAGTGAAACTGATTTGATCATTATGTATAGGTTTCACTAAGAGCTGTTATTGCAGATAGGCGGAAAACTTCGATACCGTGAGCACCAGAGTATTAGCCAGATCCCCCTTGTTCACTTATGCAGCGTTGGTGATGATCATTTCATTTCATTTCATCAGACTTGTATCGAATTCACTTCAGTTCAGTTGGATAACTATGCTCCGGACACCGATTAGTGTGAGACCGGTAGCCACGACACGTAGCCAAAATAACAACGGTAAGAAAACAAGATTGAATGCAAATAGAAGACACAGAAAATTGGATCGTAGCTGAAGTTCGTTAAACTAATAGGGACAGAATAGAGATCAACAGCTAGATGCAAGACACGGAATGCACGAACCCCTTGACGAATGCTCTATGTCTGATCGATTCTCTTAACCAACTGGTGTGTGTATCATCCGGGGTCCCCATTCACGAAGGTGGCACTCACCTTCATAACGTATTTCAGTTACGGAAACCATGCGGATGTGAAGAGCAGTAAATTTGGGTGGATTTTCACTCAAACCAAACACAACGGATCGAAATGGAAAGCGTGGAAGTTAACATGGCAAAATTTGCAAATGATGCCAGCATTTCCACGGAGCAAGCATAAGGAACATTTCTGTGGAATATACTGAATTAAGTATTCCCTTCAGCCGCTTACGTACAATGAGTGAACATTTTAGACGTTTGAGAATAATAGGTCAGTACCAGGAATCGATGGTCAGTTGGGTTGGCTAGCCTGTCTTACCACACCAAGGCAAAGCAGCATTGTCTACAAACTCAGGTTATTTTCATAAGTTAAGCTTCAAACGCCGGATGGCGGAAGCCTCAGTAAACCGCAACAACTTGTGGTTTGCTCTGTCTGTTGATGACCTTGAATGCTTCGCGGGGATTCTGGTACACTGAGCAGTCGAATAAATGCGTTGCACACTTGCACGTTCGATATGTTGTTGACACCTTTGTGGTGGTCGACGAAGCCCGGCAAGCGGAACGCATGCTCAAAACCTTTAATGGATGTCATCCAGAGATCGAGTTCACCATGGAAAACGATACATCAGGAAAGTTCTACTTCTTGGATGTAGGTTTAGAGGGAAGATCAGATGGGTCGCTCCTGAGATCCATTTATCATAAACTGTGCTTGACTGCGCAATACCTAAACTTCGACAGATACTGCCCTATGAGCTACAAGCGCTCCCTGGTTCGTGCATCCATTGTGAGAGCCCACCGTATCTGTTCAGATGAAACGATTGAGGAAGAACTACAGGTTATCGCCTACACCGTATGTGAAAATCGGTCCCCTGACAAGTTTATTGCAAGGTGTTGGAAGAAAATCAGGCCGCACGAAGAGCGAACTGAAGCTCCAAAGAAAAAGGTATTCATCGCACTGCCTTACTAAGGGAAAGAACATCACAGACATTTCTGCTATCGCCTACTTCATACCGTTAAGAGATGTTACCATACAACTGAATTTGTGTTACTCCACAGAACCAACGAGCTGCTAAATGAATCCAATTTGGACAGGAAGCCTCACTCTACTGTCACCGCCTCATGCGTTTACCAGTTTAACTGTACTTGCGGTAGCGTGTACATCAGCCGGACAGAGGAGTTTGTCCACTTGGATCTCAGAACACATTCAGTGGAAACTTACGCACAGTGGCGCACCATTACCTGCCAGCTCTGTTGACCGGCACTTATTCGACTGTTCGATGTGTCAGAATCCCCGCGAAGCATTCAAGGTCATCAGCAGACTGAGCGACAACAAGTTGTTGCGTTTTTGCTGTGGCTGCCACCATCCGGCGATTAAAGCCTAACCTATCTAAATAACTTGAGTTTCTGGCCAATCTTGCTTTGCCTTGGCTAGGCTGGCTAACGCAACTGACCATCGATTTCTGGTACTGACCTATTACTCCCAATCGTTTGAAATGTTCACCCAGTGTATGTGAGCGGCTGAAGAGCATAAACTGAATTCAGATTATTCTGCAGAAATGTTCGTTGTTCTTTCTGTTGAAATTTTTAATGGAAAATGGTTGGATGCCAGAATTAGTATGCTAGGATTCATGTGCCTGTTGTGTAGAGACAAAGCTTTGAGGCACATTACCGGGAACCGACCAACGGGAAGTATTTCTGTGTACATTCTTCAATGGCTTTTCGATCACATCATTTGGAGTTAATTAATGATGTGCAAGTCATTCAGGTGGCGAGGTAGAAAAGCTTGAGCGAGTACAGCATGAAGCCACCAGGCTGATTCCCAACTTATGAGGTGTGCCGTAGGAAGACCGGTGTAAGAAACTAGGGCTGTACACCCTAGCTTATCGTTGACTGAGGGTTGACCTTATCATGACGCACCGGATATTACATGTGGGTGATTACCCTTTGTTGAGACCACTGCTTCATCTGCGCAAACCACGCAGCACACGAGGACACCGGTATAAGCTTGTCGTATCGGATTTGAAGCGGGTCGCATAGTGGTGTATGTATAGAACGACATGCCGCAGCACGTGGTTGAGGCGAAGTCAGTGTCGGAATTTAAGAAGTTCCTGGACAAACACTTTGCCGACGCAAAATATGTAGAGCGGAACACAACATAACGGGTACGTCTCCATGAGTGATGATTGATGCAGCTACACAGAGCAAGCTCTACTCGCTGCTTCGAACAAGTAATCAGTAAGTAACACAAATCTGATAAACCGGCAATGTTCAGCACTTAGGTACATCATGTATCCAAGATTAGAGGTCAATAAATTGTTCGGTAATTTGGAAACAGGTGCATCGGTTGTTCTACTACCGAATGGTAAGTGACAGAGCCAAGCAAACTGCAGTTGGGCGAGGTTATATTGAAAGAGCTGGGGTGTCCAATCTACTAAGGGTGGTTTCACTAACGAATTGTATAATCAGAGTTACAAAGCAAAAACTAGTTGCTTCGGTTTGGGTATCAAACCACCCAAACTGCAACTTGTTCAATTCGAATATGGTTATAATGTTAAATAAAAACAAGACTAGCTTTTGAAGACCAACATTCGCTAAAGAGAAGGGACTGAAACCCAAGTGTCCGGCCGACGGCTATACCAGCGGGTCTATTAGCCAGTGGCGGGACTTTGAGCTGGGAATTGAAGCGAACTGAAGATTTCCCGACGGGATTGAAAGAATTCGTCGTAATGCTTTTACATATTTCTTCCCGGACTGTGCTTGATAGGTGGTTATGGAACAGCCCAAAGTTGTCGTGCACACTTTTTACGGACCTTTATCCATGATTCCGGTACACATGGGCGGCGCCTGAAAGGAGTACATGCTTGTCTTTTAACTCGGAAGTCACTGGTTCGAATCTATGCTAGTGCGGGCGACTTCACGGTATTCTCAGTCGACGCGCGTGGCAGCAAAGCGTCGGTACGATATACCGGGTTACTGCGGATGCCCTTTTTCTTTCTTTCTGATACATTATGTTTTTTCCTGTTTATCTAGCTTCTGCTTTTCTGTCGCTAAAACAATCTAACTTCTTAGTAAGGCCATATCGTGTTCCGCACTTTGCCCATTTTATGGAATTTTAGGACAAGCATCGTGTACATAGTTAGTGCAGGTTGTAGGTTATCGCTTCAGTGAGGCCGCGTTTGTATGCCTGATGTTTGCCGGACTCTGATCCCCGAAGTATCGTTTGCTTTCCATCCGGATGTTCATAGGGTGTCTGCTCGTCCATTGTCACCACCTCGAGTACTGCCTCCAGGAGCCTACTGGGAGGTGCATGTTTCAACACTTCAAAAGTGATCCCATCATCATACGGATTACGATGTAGCCTCATCGCCCCGTTTATCTCTCGGATGCAACATCCTCATTGTGGCTCCAACCTAATCGTCACTTCCCTCCGCATGTCTCCCCCTCCCTACAATGTTATTGCTTCTAGTGTGTGATGCAGCACAGGCTACTCATTACCTCCTGTCCCAGCTATGCACAAGTTCCTTGTGGGTATCCTTAATCAAAACTAATAGTGAAATCTGGCAATGGATCTTGCCATTCGGGGGTTATGTTCATCTCCCTATACGTATTCATTAGTAACGTTGCGAATCCTACATCCGTGTGAGCCCTGTTTCACCGGCACCCATTTCTATCGGATCAACCAAACAGTTACCTTCCTATATTTTTAAATAAATAAATAAATAAACAAATTTGTATAGTTACCGACAGACAGTACACGGCCCCATAAGTGGGAGCCATCATTTGTATAGTGAATACGTTTCATAATAGTAAAGGAAAGTTTATTAATAGAATTTCGGATCATGGTTGTTTTACTTTTTTTCCTCGGGTCATAGACCCGTACACGTCAATGTAAAATTTACGGATCTTTGTATCATCAGGAGTAGATAATAAAAGGGAGGGGATACTAGGCTGCACAGACACAGAATTTGGTATTGTAGGTAATGACATGTAGTGGGTAAGCTAGTTGTAAGCGAATATCTCTTCATATGTTTTTTATACCAGCTTCTGTCAATCTTTCTAGAGTTTGCTGTTAGTCATATATCTTTAACACATTTGGTATAATGAGGAACCTCTGAAGGGGATTTCGAAATGTGACAAAGCTTGTACTCATACGTACATGTATGGATAGTGTGTTCCACAGATCAGTGTATCTCACTAAGAAGAAATTTGATCAAGTTTTATAACTTGAACAGTTTGTGTGTATCAAGTAGCCGCCATTACGTGTTGGGTAGACTGCAGTCTTCAGTAGTTCAAGTGCGGTACTGTCTGCGTAAATTCGTTGGTTTATAATATTGTATAAGAGAACGAGGTTGTTCTTTAAGCGTCTCAGCCAAATTGGATCTAATTGGAGTTTTCGACAGCGATCATAATAATTCAGGTTTGAGCAACGCCCCATGACCAACTTGGCAAATGATCCTTGGACATTTCCTAAAACCTTTCTGTCTTTCTTTCTCAATTGGTTGTGAACGATAGTACAGTATCCCAGAGTCGGTCGTACTATTGTCTTGAATGGCTCAAGTCGTGCTTCAAGTAGGGAAAAAGTTCTGATGATATATCCGCATAACTGCCTTGCATTCGCAACCTGATAAAGAACAGGTTCGGAGAAATTGAAAGAGTTGGAGTATCTAATTCCTAAGTCCCGGACTGAATCAGACGTTGGGATCACGTTTCCGGCAAGTATGATAGGGCTTTTTGGGATGCGGCATCTGTACCCAAGTACTTGGGATTTCACTGCGGAGAACTTCATTAATAAACGTTCACTAGCTATATTTAGTGCGGATAGGTCTTCACAAATGTTTCCCAGGCATGTTTGTAGTTGGTCTGGATGAAATGAGTAGACCAGTTTGAGGTCATCTGCAAACAGAAATGGGTGTCCATGTTTGATCGGGTCACATATGTTGTTTACGTAGATTGGAAAAAGTGGTGGTCAGAGCACACTTCCCTGGAAGACGCCGCTGGTCATTTGTTTCGGTGTAGAATATCGCTGGTCGATTTTAACTACCTGAGTTCGACCGTTTAGCTATGGGTCGAACCAGTTTAGGAGACGATTTCCAATTTCACATGACTCTGAGCAGACAGCAGTGGCTCGTGAGGCACGCGGTCGAACGCCATTTGCATTTTCAACAGAATTATAATGATTGCCATTTTTCTGTCGGTCATAGTCGTGACGTGATCGAGCAATTGTAGCTGGCAGGTAACGCAGGAGCGTTTTGAGAGAAAGCCATGTTGTGAGGGGTTGGTCAGATCCAGTCTTGTAAGATATTGTACGATGTTCTTGACTATTCTCTCTAGGGCTTTGGAAGTAGCAGAGGTGTGATTTATTGGGCGGTAGCTTGGCACTTTATTTCTCGGGTCAACCTTGTGCTTAGGCATTATAATGAATTGCTTCCATTGAGGTGGAAAGCAGCCGGTAGTGAGAGAAAGTGTGAAGGTGTTTAATAACAGTAGAGCGAGGTTTTTTTCCTCCGAGTTTTATAACAGTTAGGGAGATGCCATCTGGACCTGGATGAGTTGATGGTTTTGTGGTTGCGATGGCACTTTGCACCTCTCTTAACATCACAGGGATATTGCAGTATAGTTCGGTCGTTCTTTTTGGAAGTGGCGGATGAAATGGCTGAGTGTTGGGGACAAAACAAGAGGCAAAATTAGAGTTGATAGCCTCGCATATACGTGAGATGTCGCGCGTTATTGTACCATCGTCCAGAGCCAACGTTTCAACTTCTTGAAGGGGTTTAGGATTCCTTCTTTTGAGTAGTTGCATCAATCTACGTGGTTTCTCAGGATTTCTGAGTACCCGACTTTCTTCTTTGATTTTGGCCGTTTGGGTTAGACGTCGTAAATATAGTAAATTCTCGTGTATTTGTAGCAATGTTGCGAAGCTGTTGCTCCTGCGATATAGCCATGAGTTTCTTTGGTTTGGTTTTGGCTTTGTACAGAAGCTTGAGTTCACCACTATGTTCATGGGTATTTCTCCATGCAGTAGTTGCCAGTAGATCCACAACAAGAGCAATATTGTTAATAAACTCATTTGTAGCCACAGTAGGGTTGTGAGTTTGGAATGACGTATTCCAATTCTTGGTACTGATAACTTCATTAAATGAGTTCCAGCCCACACGATGGTTTCTTCGTTTCGTTATCGGTAAGCTGGGCTTGACAAATTACTAGTCGTCTCATCCCTCGCTTTCTGTTCCCGCGCTCTACCTTCCCTGTATAGATCGGATTGTACGGTCTCGGTATGTACAATCAACTTCACTCCTCCTGGCGCAGCCGTACGTATTCCAGAAATGGCGGGTGGGTGAGTCAACAAGTGTTTGAGCTCGGAATCCCGGCTGCTTGTATCCTCTATCACTCTTGGCAACATCATTTCACCGCAGCCGAACTAGCTGGCATAGCGTTTCAACTTTCGCGCGAAAACTATCGGCCGGTAAGTTTGTGTTTTTTTCGGTCTTAATCTTCGTGTCCTCTTTATCTCTCTCATCGTCGGTCGTTGTGTACAGATGGACTTTATTTTCCGATCATCGTAAAACCTTTTTAACTTCGCCAAAACTTCACTATGTCGGTGCTGCACGAAATCCAATTGTCAATCACCCAACCGCATCACTTTTGTTGAACCAAAGCGGAATATAGAGCACATTTCCAGTAAATTCGACGTACATCCCATGGCATACCTATAAGACTTCTGTGTCTACGCTATATCCTGCTTGGTTCGGGAATCTGCTCTCGCTGCAGTAGTTTAATCTGGGAGCTGATCTATCTATCGCATTGCACTTATTATTGATGCGTATAGTACCATACATGAATATTTATTCGGACAATGAAAAGCATGATAATACTAACACGAAGGATCGGTAACTGTACAAGAAGGTTATAACTTCACCGCAATTGAACTACACCGATTTACAATTAAACTTTGTCATCTGAACCCGGATAAAAGCTATTCCACTTTATTTGATATGCTCAGTCTACTGCGTATTCTGTGTCAATTTTGCATGTTTGCTTTCCCTTAAATTCCATGCTGGTTGTTTGGTTCCCTCCGTTCGGCTGCGCTTGATGTGAATGTTGACAAGGTGCCTACCTGTCTAACACCCTCCACTTCGCTTACTGGCGCCAGGACACTAGGAATCGTTGCTAGTGGGGACGGGGTGCACAGTCCTCGTGGTCGTGCTAGGCTCAAAGAGCGTTTCCACGCATCCAGTGTGAAGCGAGCTGCGGCCGAGCCATCACCTTGTGTGTGTCTGGTGCGCATGATTCTCAAACTAGATAGACAGAAATACTGTTGCAGCTGTGCATGTTGAAGGAGTATGGGCCGGCTCCGTCGATGAAATTTGGCTCCAATCCACATACTTCCCGGTCTTATTTCTTCAGGTTTACACTACATATGGGGTGTGCGGATGGAGATGTTGGTGATGCAACGCAAGCCACCTATGGTCCCCCTCTGTAGGCGCAAGCGTCCTGTAGCTGTCCCCGGAACCGGATGCCGCCTATCATGTGAACGTCACCATGTTGAGTGCATTTGGTTATGTGACGCCACATTTGTTATTGGCTTCCGTCGGGTTGCCATCATCGGAAGAGATGATAGGAACTCTTCGAGGTGGATGACTGACGCCCGTGGAGTGGCTAAGTTCATTCGCATTGGGATGAGGCAGTGACCTGATTCAGTGGCGAGTCACATCCCCCACTTCGCAGTGTTGTTAAGCAAACATGCTGAGGCTGATGTTGCATTCTTGATGCTTCTTCACCGCAGTTGGGCTAAACCAACGTACAATTAAACTAGGTCTTTTTAAGCTGCATAAATTTCATTCCACTTTATTTATTTTGTTCTGCCTCCCTAAATAATCATCTATTAACTGGCCACGTTGCTTTCGCTAATTGCGCTTAACTTCGGTAACTTTGTTGCGTTTGTAGCATTTTTAAGTAATTTGTGGACGTTTTTTACTTATCGCTGATTCTTTACTGACCAATTTACTTCATGTGGTAATTTAGCGAAGAGTTATGACGCTGTATCTGTATGCATTATTGGATTTATTTTATTTCAGCTTGTCGTTTAGAGTGAATGGCTGTTGCTTGATATCCCCGGTGTGGCTGCGCTTGATGTGCATGTTGACAAGGTGCCTACATGTCTATTACCCACTACCTCGTCCATACTGGCTCCAGGAGACAGTTGGTCGTTGCTGGAGGGGACGGGGCGCACGGTCCTTGTGGCAGTGCTACGTTCAAAGAGCGGTTCCATGCAGTCAGTGTGGAGCGGACTACGGTCCAGCCACCGCCTTGTGTGCGCTTGATTTCCCCAAATACAGTGTGCTTGTGTTTGCCTGCGAAGGAGTGTGAACCGGCTCCGTTGGTGAAACGTGGCTCCCATCCACATGCCTCCCGATCTTATTCCTTCGGGTTTACACTGGATATGGGGTGTGTGGATGGAGCTGTGGGTGGTGCAGCGCAAACCACCCATGGCCCCTCTGTAAGTGCAGGCGTCCTGTGGCTGGCCACAGTGACAGGCAAATCCGAAACCGGATGCCGCCAACTATGACTTTTTAAAGGAAGGACGCTTGCCAAGCGGAAATTCATCACCTCCTAGAACACTGTCGCCCAGCCATTCGCTGGAACGTGATTTACCCGATCCACCAGCTGGTATCACCGGCTGACCACCGGTCTAGTTCTCATTGACGCACCCATCTTTCTTACCTTACTGACCAAACTTCACTCCAAGGTGAATCATAATCTTGATATGAATTGCGTATCCCAGTCTATTCGTATGACAATTTTCTTCCGTAGGACCTATCTAGTGTATCATTATTGTGCCAAGCGTTACTCGTGTTGACGCGGTGGCCAAGGGGTTGGAGGTCCCAACTAACATCCCAATGATTCCGGTTTCTGGGCCTGCTATGTCCACTTGCTGAGATCAAATAATGTCGGGACGTGTCGTGGAGTGTCGTGCTTTCAGGCGAGCAACACCATATTCCCATACTCTTCAGCTACGGCCGTAGTGGTCGAACTGGGCAAGGTTGGCTTCAGTGCGAATCGCATTCCACATTAGGGTTTCGCGTCGCAATCCAATCACACAATGAGTGCCACAAAATGACCCTCCAATCAGTCATTCATCATTGTGCCAAGCTTTCCCTCTCTGGACCTGGTAGCTAAAGAGATAGAAGTTCCAGCTAACACCTCGATGGTCTCGTGTTGGAAGCCCGTTGTCTCCACTGATCAGATCAAACCACTTTGAAACTCGTCGTGATGTCCAGTGTTTTCGGATTGGCAACAACCAATTCCTACACGCTTTAGCTACAGTTTTCGTGATCGAATTTGTTATGGTTCGCCTCATTGCGAATCGCGGTCCACATTGAGATTGAGGATCACAATGCAGTCACACAACGAGTGCCTTAAAATAACCCTCCAGTCAATGCTTAACCGTTAGGATAAGCGTTACTCGCTGCGACTCGATTGCCTAGGGATAGACGTTTCGGTCGACATCCCATATATCCCGGGTTCGAATCGCAGTGCTGCTGTGTTTACCTGTCGAGTTAGCAAGGAAGCTCCCAGCGAGATTGGTTCATCATCCGAGGCATCCGAAAGCATGCAAGGGGACCCCACCCAGTTGAAGTGGTGTGCGACTGCGCCACTCATAATCTGTCCCAACCCTTATAAAGAGAGTATTGAAATTGCTTACTTCTCTGCGGCTTTTGCTCCTTTGCATTCTGACTGGCGGACTCAGTACTAACTTCCCGTGGTTCGTGGTATATAGGGCTAAGAGCCTATCTTGGTGCGGTTTTGCGCCGCCAATATCAAGTATTCTGATGTCTATCGTGTTCTGCCTCCTTGAACAAGGTGACGCAGCCTCAGAAAACAGTTTCAATATTGTCTGCTGGGTTCGGAAACGCTTTGAACAAAGTTTTTGAAAACAGTTACGGTAGCTTCTAACTATCATACACATCGGGTGGTTTTGAACGCAATTGTATCTTCCCAGCAGGCACATCCAACTCGTGGTACTCCCGTGGCTTACTTTGGTCACTGTGTCACTTAAGCCCCACACCATGGTTGGTCGAATCCGGATTTTTCTCTCACTTTGGCCTCCACGGGGACAGCCACAGGTCGCCTGCGACTACAGAGGGACCATGAGTCGCTTGCGCTTCATCCACACACACACACACACACACACACACACACACACACCATATCTGATGTAAACCTGTAGGAATAAGACCTGGAGACATGTGGATGAGAGCCACGTTGCATCAGCGGAGCCGGCCCACACTCTTTCAACATGCACAGCTGCAGCATTCCTACCTATCTTTGTAGGGAGTCATGTGTACTGGGTATACATAAGACGGTGGCTGGGCCGAAGTCCGCATCACACTGGATGGAACCACTCTTTGAGCTTATCACGGTCAGGAGGACTGTGCATTCCGTCCCCACCAGCAACGATTTGCAGTGTCCCGGAGCCAGTAATCGAAGTGGGAGCTGTTAGACAAGTAGGCACCTTGACATCATACACAACAAGCGCAGCCAAACCAGGGATATCAAACAACTAACAGCATTTTTCGGAAGGCAGATGCGCAAAATGTGCAGCCGGGTTACAGAATTGGAATGACGTTCATTCCGATTAAAAGAACCTGGTTTAGATGTAACTCAACTGCTCAACTGCGGTGAAGAAGCTTCATGAATGCAACATCAACCTCAGCGTAGATTCTTTTAAAACAGCTATGGTCTGGACGTTGACTTTAAGCCCAATGACCAGGAGCTGGCCAATGAGAGCCCTTTTACTTGGGCTTAAAGCTGCCCAACGAGAGCGTTTCACCCGCCTCTGGTTGTTTCTGTTGAACTATCTGATCAAAGACATTTTGCCTGTGGCTCATTCAAAGTCTTTTTCATGATCTTGGTCTTCTGCTTTGGGAAATGGTTGGTATTACTATTGATACTGTCAGCGGATGCGCAGCACGATGTCTTCCCAATTAACTATTTGTCAACTTGTTTTGTCTCACTCACACCTTCATCGGCGTTTGTTGTGTTTTTGTTTACCCGGTTTACCGCTTTGCATCTTGGCTTAAACTGTCGGTTTAGCCATGTTATTACACATTACACGATCCGTTAACCTACACACACACACACACACACACTCTCGTGCTCATCACTCTCCACCATCTTTCTATTGGTTAACGCAACGTTTGTTACGGGTTTATTCGGAAAACAACATCCGCCTATTGTTTTGGATTAAATTACCGGTTGCAAATAGTGGAATGAGAATTGAGTATTGGGCTGTTTTGTTACCCCAAAATCCAGCTAGCCACGCCACCGATACGTCTCCAGGTTCACCTATCAAGTGCCCCATGGGCTTCTCTCACATCCTACAGTGTAGTTCAGTGGAAAAGCTATCATACCAGGCACTATTCGCATCGCCAGATAGATTCTAACAAAATTGGTGAAAAAATG